TAGATATTATGTATAAAATAATAAATTTGACTGTATAAAGAATTAATAATTTTTATTGTTAATTTGTGTTGGCAAACATTTTTGAAAATTACGTTTTCGATAAACTTCTGAGTGCATTTATTAACGTATATATTATCATACATTTCTATAACAAAACGGAGTCACCTGTATTTATATTATATACAATGTGCTTTATGTGCCAATAAGCATATTGACGTGAAAGCACAATTGCTGTAATAGACAATTGCAATTGTTCACCAGAGCCAAAAACTTAATTAATTTCGGAAAAAAATTAATAGTGTCGAACCTATCCATGAATTGCACCATTTTTGAAACATATATTTATTTAACTGCCAGTCACCATTTGCAATGTAAACTTTTTATCCAAAGTTACTATAAGTACGTGTTTGCTAGTTACAGCATACAGTTTTTTAAATCACAAACCTTTAAAACGCTGTAACTAAGGAAGAAAAATGTACGCGCGGAAATATTATCAATTTACAGCCGGTAAATATGCTGTATGCAGTAAATTTATTATTTGGGTATTTCAATTGCAATTCAAGATTAAGATTAGTTTATAATTAGATTAGATCTAGAAATGCAGTGGGTCATTGTTAATGTAATGTTTGGTTGTAATAAATGTCGTAAATGGTAAAAAAACTAAAACTGTAGGTTCCCTAAGCTTGCTGTAAGTAAACGAATTAAAAATCACACGCGAGAAATGCTATAGTAGCGTTAAGTTTTTAAATGGGAAGAAGTAAGTATTTGTAAAGAAAAAGCCGATTTTCTTTTGCAAGTACAAATTGCCAAAATGACTGGATTTTTGGTCTACATACACATTTAATCTTACTAAAAAAATATAGTACGGGCGTTTTCAACCGCGTATGTAATTTTTTTTTCATCGTAGAGGCACAGGACCCGGGACATTCGATGCGGTTTTTTTTTCTGATTCTAATGGCAGTAAAAAGTCACTTTAGGTATTTTGTCTACTTACAGCAAATATGCTTTCCTACGTCGATATTGACGGTCAAATCGTAACGCCATTAGGAACAAAATATTTCAACAGTTCTGATTATACCTATAAAATACGTTTATAACAGCCGGTTCTTTATCTTAATTACATTATCTACCGATTTAAAATCTTATCAACACTTAAAACCAATTAATAACGAAGATTTATTACATCACATTGTCACTTTGAAATGGATATTTCAGTATGTTCGCGATATGGCGCGCGGACCTCACCCTTATCATATTTATAAAGAAAGAGATGTGATTACCGTCTCATGTTGAAAAAGGGAGATAGAGTGAAGATTTATCACGTGACTAATACCGAGTCTGCCTTCCCTCGGGACTCAAACGAGTTTCGCTCCCCCATCTCCGATGCAATCTATGCTGAATCGTATTACAATAAATTGTATTAACTCGAAAAATACTTCGTGTGTCCACGACTTTGAGTGAAATAATTTTGTGCACTTCCTTTAACATAGATATACAATATACATATATGAACTTAGTATTACAATTCAAGATATTTATTTATCATTAAGAACATTACAACATACATTAGAAGTTAAACGAGTGGCTCACAACCTTGTTAGGTCTGGGCCTCAGATTTCTGTATCTGTTTCATTATTATTTGTCAATTTAATAGGCAAGTAGGTGTGTGTCTGACACGCGCCGTCGTCTTTTTGGGTCTAAGGCCAGCAAATGTTAAATGCACTCATAGATAATCCATTGGTGCACAGCTGGGGATCGAAACTTCGACCTAAGGGATGAGAGTCGCACACTGAAGCCACTAGGCCTACACTGAGATCACATGAGAAGATATACTAATACAATAATATATCACGCTTATTAATTAATTGTATATTACAATAGGAAAGAAAGTACAACAGCAGGCAACAAACACAAGACAAAAAAGAATACAAAAGAACAACAACAATGAGTAATAAATAGCGAGACATTTAACAAATAACACACATATCTATAATTTATTGTCATAAAGCACGCTAAACGTCTCTTAAATGCGCCAACCTGTAATCGACGCAGTAAACACAAATAGTACACTTAAAACTACTCTTTAAACAACTAAAACAGCTCCAAAATCAAAATACTGTATAACAGTGTTTAGAAATATATTGTTTTAATAGTACATGACATATCGAACGCCTTCATAAGATCTTAAATCCGCTATGATTATAATAAAAAGGCCAAAACATACTATTACTATCAGGCTCTGAGTAACCGTACAGTACAGTACTAGCGGACCGTCCCGGCTTCGCTCGCTCTTTTTTTTTGTAGATATTGGTATGTTCTTTAATATCGTGAAACATTTTTTTGTTCTATCATCAATAGTTTTCGCAGCGCATGCGATGAAAGATATTTTATAGGCATTTTTTACACCTTGGGTACCTTCTAGTTTTAGTAGTGATCCTTATTTTTTTTCTTGTAATTAAAACAGCCTATTAATGAGTGATAAAGAAGCATTCAAATGGTGCAAGAATTTTTAAATCGGTCCAGTACTTTTTGAGCCAATTCGTTACAAACCTACTTACACAAATCTTTCCTCTTTATAATATTAGATCGATATATGTATCAGCAAACATGGTCCATCTGCACACAATCGTTCCGTGATCTGAGACGTATTCAATGTTACCCTCTTTCCGTAAATTTATAGATTTTACGAGGGATCATCTAAAAGTCGCGATACCACATTGCAATTTATCATTTTTGTGGGCGGAAATTGCGTCATTTACGCTCGTTCGCCCGTACTTCTCTCTTGTTTACGACCGTTAGAACTAAAATTAATTATAGAAGTTCTTTGTCGCTTTAATTTACGTTATGACGTATAAATTTAATAATAGCCTATATTAGTACTATAATGAGGATTATATTGATGATGTTATTGTATTTAATATACACAATCTTCGACGGAGTGACGGCCTCCAAATTCTTCCATTTGTCTCTAACTTCACTACTATTTCCAAATTTGTTGTGTGTCTATGGGCGATATCACTGAAACTTTTTAAATGTATACTACATTATATCATAACCAAATTTCATTGGATTACTAAGACTAAAGATGTCATCTATGGGGCTTTAATCTATACCATGAATAAATTACCAATTTAACTACAGATCGGGAGATAAAAGTTATTATCGACCCTCCAGTTAACGTAAATTGCCCAATTCAAAGTGCAAGCCAAATGGCGTCAACGCATCGAGATTCTTATCACCAAATCTAGGGATAGATGACCCGACGGTCGTTGATAACATAATTGCTGCGACGCACGCTCCATACTCATAAATTACATTAATAAAAATCACTTCTCATTTAAATTGGATGGCCCATTTATTGGTTGTATCGTTAAACTAATCATATGGCATATTTAAATCAGGCTTAGGATTAAAGAATTTCTTCTAAAATAATGCCTACCTACCTCGCATATATACTTTTATTATTATTATTAAAGCGTGCGACTCACATCCCTGAGGTCGTAGCTTCGATCCCCGGCTTTGCACCAATGGACTTTCTATTTGCGCATTTAACATTCGCTCGAACGGTGAAGGAAAACAGTGAGGAAACCGGCTTGCCTTAGACCCAAAAAGTCGATGTGTCAAGCACAGGAGGTTAATCACCTACTTGCCTATTAGATTAACAAATGATCATGAAACAGATACAGAAACCTGAGGCCCAGACCTAAAAAAGGTTGTAACGCCATTTATTTCTTTTTTAATTAATGTTCACCATCATTTATAATGCTTCTACAGTATATGTTACACAAGCTATCTATTCTAAAATAGATGACAATTATAATAAACATATGTGTCTTCACTTCACATGGAACATTATCTAGCCTATCTTAAGATTAGTAAATACGTACCTAATCAAACCTAATTTACTACTATTGATATTTAACATAGTGTCCAAAAACTACTTGCTGTCTCTATTAAGGTGAAGACACTCTGTTCGTGTGTTCAGTGTAGCTTTATAAAAACTTGTAAAGCTACAACTTCACGGTTTTACAAAAAACAGACGAAAGCTCGGTAAAGCTTCTCGTGTTTAAGCTTAGAAGCGTGAAGAATTACCCTATTAAATTACGTAGCACGGTGCTGTTGCTTTATAGATTGGTTATCGGTATAGCAAGAAACGAACGTGATAGACGCTTTAGGCAGCGAATCCAATTGTTCCGTCATAGTTCTACGAAATGCGCTGCGCAATGCGTTGGTTAATTAAAACTCGACGGGACGACACTTACCCTACTCATGCATGCTCTCAAACGTCACATTCTCCAGTGACATCTCTTTATGAGCCTGATTTTGTATTGTGACGTGAGATGTGTCGCGATTGACATCAATTTAACATACAGCTATAGCTGAAGTCCGTAACGAATCAATCATACGTAAATGTATTGCATTTAGAAAGAAGGAAGAAAAACGTTTGATTTGATTCAAACACACACACATATACCGTATTGTATTTATAAAGAAAGAGGAAGAAAAGTTATTATTAAGAATAGTCATCGAGCACACACATACAAAAAAGAAATACAAACCCAATCACTTTAATCAAAAATGGGCCCTAAGTTGCTGTCACCAGCAACACTGAATTTCAGTGGACCCATACTATCTTGTGGCAGCTATATACACTGAACAAAACTAAAATTAATAATAAAAATAAAAAAATAATTATTTAAAAACAGAATAAAAACATTAAATTACAAACACAAATGCAGTATATAGACATTAGACAATGCAACTAAATGCCCAACCCAGCCGCCTGACATTCCGAAATATAACTTTTATTTATATATTTATTTTGAAAGACGTAATGCCTTGGGTGACGCGGATTGGAGGTGGCAGGTTCCAGCATTTAGTTGCATTGTATCTACCGCGGATGCTGTTCTATGTTTAGGAACAATAACTGTATTAATCCTTCTCGTATAATACGTTTGACTTGTGTTGCCTTTATTCTCTATTTTATTCTTTTGTTTCAGCATTATCGTCAATTAAAAGTAATATAGACAATTCTAATTGCATACTGGTTCAAGATGTAAAGGCTGTTACACATTCTCATGGGATTAGAGATGCATTATCAACATCTTCGCCTTCTGATGGTATGAATGTTTTAATTAATTATGTTGTTTTTTTTCGTGAACATATTTGTAAATCAATATTTATTTCAGAATCGATATCCACGTCGTCTTTAGGATGGTCAACAACAGCTGAAGCGGCTATAGAATCAGCAGTGATACCACAACAAGCCCAACAAGCAGCACCACCACCTTGGTCACCCGCCTTAGAAGTTAGAGAATTTGACCAACTACATAGTGCAACCATACCGGCTTATCAATTCTGGAGTTCGGAATTTAGAAATAAACAGCCAGCGTTTGTCAGTCTAAACTTCACAGTGCCATGGGGAGCAAACTTCGCAGTTTACGGGAGAAGAAACGTCGCACCTAGTGTCACCCAATACGACTTTGTGGAGTTTATTCGTGGTGGTAGAGTTGATCACAGACTTAGACGGAAAAGAAGCACCCTCTCGCGAGACATTACTGACCATAATTTTAACGACTTCGAATCTTTATTCATCTCGCCTAAATCTCACCAAAGATGGAACCATACAATCTCAAGGCGGTCTACTGACATGAGAGTGAACGTCAGCATTCTACAGTATCTGGACACAGGAAGATGGTTCATATCAATTTACAATGACGAACTTCAACCGCACACAGTTGAAATGATAGTAACTGAAGCTGAAGGTGTAACTAACTCCTGTCCAGACGACTGTTCAGGTCATGGCTCCTGTTATCTGGGAAAATGCGATTGTTCGGACGGTTTTGAGGGCCACGATTGTTCGAAAAGTAAGTAATGAATGGTTTTGTGTATTGTGTTAAAGAACATGAAAGAAAAATGTTTATTGTGATTTTAGGCGTGTGCCCCGTACTTTGTTCCGGTCATGGTGCTTACGCCGGTGGAATTTGTCATTGCTCAGAAGGTTGGAAAGGAGCTGAATGCGACGTGCCGGCCCACGATTGTGAGCCCGCTGATTGTTCGGGAAGGGGACGGTGTATTGCGGGACAATGTCATTGTAAGCCTGGATGGAAAGGAGTTAAATGTGATGAAGGTATTTTCACTTTAATTACTTAGGAAACAACTATTTGATAGTTCGTTATGGCCGTCTTTGACTAAGAGCCATGAGCTATCAACTGAAACATGTAATGAATTTAATGCGTTATAAAGAATAGGATTATATTAAAAATTCTTTGAAATTGAAACTCTTAAATAAAATAAAAATAGCCTTTATTCGAGTACTACATTAGATTACATTAAGTCCATGTCATTATTTTTTATCGTTAACCATTAGCAGGTACTCGAAAAAAACTCGAGAAGGTCCCCTCCAAATTCTTGCCCTTGCATCATCCTCGACACAATTTTCCAATCCTTCTCCGCTATCCCTCTTATTCCATCTTCCCAACGCTCACCACCACGTTTCTGGTGAGCTTCCACTCTTTTTCTTTATATTATATAGTTCTTTATTGAGTTAAAAAGGAAAATTCTTTGCATCTTATAACTACGCAAAGACTTCCCAGTAATAAATTCATCGTACAAAAAACGCTCTTGGAGTGAACACGCGCACAACACTTTTTCTCCAATGGATCTATAAGAAAAACCACCTTATCATTCCCAAACCAAGCGTATAATTAATTCCATAATGTAGAGGATTGTCTGGACCCTACGTGCGGCGGTCACGGCTCTTGCGTTCGAGGAAGGTGTGTTTGCCGCGCGGGATGGAGAGGCGCAGCCTGCACAGATCGTGACGCCAGGGTCCAAAGATGCCTTCCAGCTTGCTCTCAAAGAGGCATCTATGATCTTGATGCTGGGAGATGCGTTTGTGATCCACTGTATACCGGCGATGACTGCTCTCAAGGTAAGGACGGGTTATTAAGAGACTGGCGGTCCCAACTTCGCACACATACATTGAAATATGTGTTATGGAAATATATATTTTAGTTCCAACAGATATATAGTATTTACCATATTCTTAACCTACATAGTAATAATAGTAGAAGTTAGGTACACTGCCAGATGGACCAAACTTTTTAAATTTTCTATTTTTAATTATTATATAAATTTGTTTTACTTTTTAGGTGAAACATAAAAACACAATTTATGTATTTATTAGTAATCTTACATCTAACACACACGTAGACAATACACAAAGCCAAAACAAATTACATTGACAAACAAAATATGTATATGAAACAGAAAACATAAGTACATTAATAAACAAAAAAAACTTAAACAAACGACTATTAATACTTAATATAATAAAGAAAAAATCTTTTATTTTTATATTAGTAAAGATAAATATAACAATGACCGCTAGTGCAGTACTAAACGTTTCACCTAACATCACGTGAGCCTCCTGCCCGTTTGCCTCCTATTAAAAAAAGAACTATACTTACTAGTAGTTCAGTTTAAATACCTTATAATATTCATATTACTTTATTACTACCAAATTATAGCACAACAGAACTTGATATTATATGGTTATAAACTTCAAGTGTAATTTCCTGTCAACGTGTAGTATTTGCTTCTATATAAATTAGTATCGTTTATAAAATTTGGGGACAACATATCGCCATACAATTTGGTACCTATATTCTGCAAACATAATAATAGAATCTTCCTATTAACTAACATAACGATAACAAGTAGGTTTTAACAACAATTTCATCAGTAAGTCCAAATTTATAATAAAAGTAATTAACCCACAGTGGTATGTTCACTGGATTGTGGGCCGCACGGAGTTTGCGCGGAAGGTGTATGTCGCTGTGACGATGGTTGGACTGGATCGATGTGTGACCAGAGACCTTGCGATACACGGTGTCATGAACATGGGCAATGTAAGAATGGCACCTGTGTTTGTACACAGGGATGGAACGGACGACATTGTACTATACGTAAGTATCTTCTATATGGACATATGCAAAAGTTACTGTGGAATCGCCTGCCAGATTTCCTGTTTAAAAATTCCTCAAAGGCCGGCAACGCATCCACTAACGCGGGTATCCATGGCGATGACTCACATTTTTGGAAGACCCGTGGGCTCGTTTGCCATAAATGTTAGAAATAATTTACTCAAATTATAAATTTTATAATAAGTTCGGATTATAGTTAGTAATAATTTTCTTAGCGACACGACAAGTAAACAGGACATCGTCATGGTTCGTTATAAAGCTTCTTGCTTTAATTATATTAGAATAAAACAGAACAGAGGAAAAATAAACGAAACCAAAGGATGTAGGCGGTCTTACTGCTAAAAGCAGATTCTTCCATTCATAGAAAACTTAAGTATATATTCGTTATCTAATATATAAAATTCTTGTGTACCGGTGTTTGTAATTAAACTCCTCCGAAATGGCTAGACCGATTTTCGTGAAATTTTGTGTGCATATCGGTTAGGTCTGCGAATCGGATAACATCTATTTTTATTCCCCTAAATTTTATTTTTCATTTTTTAGACAAAATTTTGGTTTCTATGATACAGCATACAAAAATACATACAACCCTTAATTTTTACCCCTCTACCATCAACCCCTATTTTAATGTAGATAGTTATGTTTATTGAACTAAAAAAATGTTTCCTAGAAATAATATACATGGCAAAACAACGTTCGCCGGATCAGCTAGTATACATATTTATACATAGTATACAATATACATATTTGTTATACAATTTAATTCAAGTGCTGATTCCCTCTTTTCAATATAGTACAGAACAAATGATTATTTTAGTCAAAAGCTTTAAGTGTATTACTTTATGAATATGAGGCTATGTCAACCAAAACGTGAAGCTTCAGTCCATGACTTTGACATTTAAGATAACAGAACGAATTCCACAGTCTTTTGTTTATTTTTTAATACTAGCATTCTACTAAATGCCAACATATCGACATCATTCTATGCATTAGATTTTTTTAGACATAACTAACGAGCCCACCGTAGTATTTCCGACCCAATTCGAATTAGGGTCCTTCAAAGCGTACCAATTCGTAAAAGGGCAGCAACGCTCCGAGAGTTCTGGCAATGTATGTATCATTTAACTTCAGGTGAGCCTCCTGCTCGTTTGCCCCCTGTTATATACAGTCAAAATCTATTAATACGACATCGAAGGGACTACTATATTTGGTCGTAACAACCGATAGCCGTAACAGCCGATGACGTTGTTATTAAGTACCTAATACATAATACATATTGCCAATACATACATATAAAAGCCATCCTTTGCAAATATTTATTTATAAGTTGTAAGTACTAAAGAGTCATTGTGTTCTAAGAGTGAGCTGAAGTCTGGTATATTCAAGGCGTAACGTGAAAATTCTAGGTTGATTTTTGGCGAATCTATTTCATACATTTTCTATATTTTTTTTGAGAATGTTACCTTTGTTTATCAATATCTATTTACAGTAGATGCTATTGATACGATACGATGTTACTGATTATGAAATTGTTTAGCTGGTTGTCCCAATGGCTGCTCGCGTCACGGTCAGTGCCTCCTCGAAGACGGTGTCTATCGGTGTTCCTGCGCTGATGGCTGGGCTGGAACTGACTGCTCCATTGCTCTTGAACTTTCTTGCAGTGATAACGAGGACAACGACGAAGGTAAACTAATATTTGAAATACGTAAACGTGTTTTACGCCGCTGCAACTGTATCGATTTTTATGGAATCTTATAGCGCACTAAATAGAAAAAACAATTGACTAATCATTTAAATAACTAATAATAATGCAATAAATTATCTTGTATACCTTAAGTATAATATTTTTAACTACTAAATTACACATCAATCAAATCATTTACACGACATAACGGAGGAATCCTTAAAAATTCTAACATAAATTATTAACTGTAACTTGTTCGTACACACTAAATACGCGTGGACTACGCGTTCATGACTAAAAAGGTTTTATAACCATTAAAATTCTTGTAAATTAATTAAGAACACATGTTCAGCACAGTTCCGTAACATGTAGCTAAACGTTTGTAAAACGAATCTACCGAATTTTGAAGATGGCATGACGGACTGCTCGGATTCCGAATGCTGCAGTCGCCCAGAATGCACAGAACACATCATGTGTTTGGCCTCCAATGACCCCGTCGAGGTTCTGCTTCGTAAACAACCACCATCAGTTACCGCTTCGTTCTACCAACGGGTCAAGTTCCTCATAGAAGAGAACTCTGTCCAGAGCTACGCGCATATGGACGAATACTCTGAAAGGTAGGTGTTCTAGTTTATAGGAAACAACACCATGTAAAAAATGAAGTAGGCCGTTTACTGGTTTAGGTTACAATTTGCACAGCAAAGTGTTAGTGATCATAATGATCTAGTGTATCATATTGGATAGCAATCATAAAAACATGATGTAGGAATTAGCACCTGACCATATCCCACTCATCTTCCTTAACCCCTCCAAGGATTTGGTGTGTTTCTTTTATTTTAACTTAAATTAAGATTTTGGTTTCATCTGGTGGAAGTTTTTTTTGATTTTCCTATTATTTACGAAGTTTCGATGTCCTGGCATGGATGAAATTTATTTTTTGTAATTTTAATAAAGTGTGCATTTTTTCATCTTATGTTTTCACACCAGATCCGATGTGTTGTGTATTGTCTAATGTTAATCCTTTGTGTGTGTCTTACCCTACCTGTTTGTCTAAAACAAAGCGTCTAATACGATTAACTTATCTATCAGGATTAAAACAGTGCTCAGCTTCGAAGCAGTTTTGTTTGTCTTTATTTGGTACATAAACACAATTTGGATAATTCTCGATTTATAGACTCGAATCATGACAGACACTTTAACTCAAAACTGTTACAAAATTATGTTTCAATAGATGTTAGGTTTCTCTCATGATCGGAGTCGAGCGTTCTTAAAAATAACAAGAGAGGAAAGCCATTCATTTTCCAAAAAGACAAAGACATAAGAATAAAACGATCAGAAGAAATCCGAACAATAACGAACAAGACAAAGCAAAACTGAGAAAATAAAGTAGTAAACCCACCTCGCTTTATATGCAAAAGCGCCTCAAAAGTTTGTTTGCATTAAAACACAAGCCGCTTCACTATTTTATTTGTGTTGAGGAGTCTGGAAGGGTTATATTGCGTTCTGGCATTTGTTTCTTTAGATGTGAATAACATAACACTTGACGGACCTCCGTTTATTCACCATCCAGCATGTCTATCACTTCATGTTTAAATAGAACCATTATCTTGGTGCAACCTTTTAAATACACATAAATTAATATCAAGTTATTAGTTAATAACGATAATAGTGGTGGTTTTGTTCTAATGCAAACGGGCTTTTTGTTTGAATCATTAATATTGAACATGTGACGAAATTCTAATATTATTAATCATACTAAAGCAAGTGTTAAAACGCAACGTAACCGGGGTAGACGAGCGCAATCGTTCGCATCGATTGCTGTCGGGGTGGGGTTGCACTGAGGGTTGTAGGTATCTGTGTAGTAATCTGTCCTGTCTTTCTGTGTCCCTGTGCCGCCGTGTGTCCGCCACTCCTAGCGAGTTCTGGAATTCCTTTACACCATGGTAAGTGTCAGTCAGCCCGCCCTCGCCCCTCAGTGTTCTGTATCTGTTGACCTCTTCCCTTTTGTTGCTACTCCTGCATATATGTGTGATGCCCAGCCCTCCGCATGCCCGACCGGCACGCGAAAGGCGAAACTTTAGCTTTTTATATTTCGTTCACTCCTTTGTATTTGTTTACTCTCTGTGTATGTAACATCTGTATGTCTGTCTTGTATGTTCTTTGTGGTGGCGACAAGTTTAATAAATTGTTCCGTAAATCACTGCGTCGCTATCGTGTACTGTAATTGGAATTTTCTCATGCACTTGTCGCCGCCGCAATGTTTTTGTAATGTTTATTGTTCTCGTCTACTGTGCTTATATTATAGCTCACATATACTATGGTATATTTTTGTTAGACAATGTGAAAATTAGGAAAATCATTACGCTTTCACGCAAGACGTTAGTAACACATTAGGTTTTATATGTACAAAAGTGAGACGCGAATCGTATAAGTTTAATCGAGCAAAATTCAGCGAACACGCAAAATTAGCTTCAAATGAACTTACCCCTTTATGTGTTCCTTACCCTTTGTCTGCGTCTTTCATCTGTTAACCAAACCCTTACCCTCTGCCCAAGCTCTATGTGTTTAGATCCTACCCTCGTAACTAACCAAATACAACTTTTGAATGTTCTCGGCTACTTCACAGCAAGACGGTAGTACGTCGACTTGTACTATACAACCATTGCTTACATAACACACGGTCATTGATAATACTTAATTAGCACTTCGAAATTGGTGCAAATAAAATATTTTATAATCTGTTTAAGTATTCTTAAGTTTAAAATACATCAAAGAAGCTGCAAGTTTTCTTATAAAAATATAATTGTCATCTATATTGTTATACCATCTATAGATACGTTAAATGTTTCTACTTAGCAAAAATGTTGTCTGTGAAAACTTATCACAGCTGTTTTGTCTATAGCATAAAGATGTGTTTAAATTTAGAACTGAATTAGATTATCTATGATAGTTGTTGGTAACTCTTTCTTTGGTAAGTTTCAGCTCTCCTGGTTTAGCGAATTTTAATTCAATGAAGAAGACGGACGACGGTAATGTTTTGATTATTAAAAACGATAATAACATTTCATGCTTTTAAAATTGTTTTGCAGTACGTAGAATATTTTCTTGCACCAATTTCAAGTGTCCCAGCGATATTGAACATTGACAATTGACATACTCGTATAATGTCAACAAATTACTATTATGGTCTATGTGGCAGCTGTTACATGCATATAACCTACGTTCCTAGGAAGATTTCAGTTCACATTAACTGTAAATGTTTAAATGTTGATATTAAATTCGCGAATGTCAACTGGAATTTGCCCTATATTTAGCTGATCCTGAAGAGAATGTGCGATGCTAAGAACTTCTTTTATTTTTCAATTTTTATTTTCATACTTCACTTTCACAGTGTTTTTAGAAACTGATAAAACGTGCGAGCACAGTGACACTATTTGGTGAAGCTACAATCAATGAAACGATTCACAAGGTTCTACATACTCAATTATTTCTAGTAAACACAGACTACCAAATAGTTTGTATAACAGACTACTAAAGATGACAGTTGACCACACAATTATATACAGACTTACAGAGACAAAAAAACTTTAAAGATTAAAAATAAACAAATATTTTATGCATTTTCCTAGTAAGTGACACAGACTACCAAATAGTTTGTATAACAGACTACTAAAGCTGACAGTTGACCAAGCAATTATATACAGACTTACATAGACAAAAAAAACTTTAAAGATTAAAAATAAACAAATATTTTATGCATTTTCCTAGTAAGTGACACAGACTTCCAAATAGTTTGTGTACCAATTGCGTTTATAATTAGATTTGAATTATCAATCAAATATCTCCATTTTATTTGGAAGGACCAAACCCATAACTTAAAAAAACCTGCTAATTAAATAGATATTCAATGTTTTAATAAAGTAATTCTTCATACAGTATTACAAAAAATTTGCTATAACAGTTTATTTGAACTGAATTTAATTGGTAAAATCTGCAGACGATTGGCAATAAAAATAATTTCATAGAACGTGTTCGGTCCGGCACTTGACCTATCCGAAGTACGCCGGAGATGCCAGCTTGAGTATATAGTACGAGATCCCGCTGGGATTGGTGCCTCTCGACTATTTGTTTAAAACCAAATTTTTATGTTTATTTATAATTAAGAGAATATATATTTACTAGGGTGCCTATCAAAATTTGGCCGCCATTATTTTTAATTAAATTATTTTTAATTGATTTTTGGTAAAAAATTGCGTTCATTATTATTTAAATAAAATAACGTCTACATACGGTAATTAATATGAAGATTCTAAAAAATCACGGGTGCGTTGCGCAATGGCGACCTTGAGGTGTAAACAGGTAATTGAAATTATACGTTTATAACCTATTTTATTAATTAAGTCAAAGAGCTAATTTTTTTCTATTAATATCAATAAAGTTGTTAATAAATCTGGCGAAATAAGGGTATGGTTTAAAGAAAAAATATAGAGATGAAAGAATTAGCGTAACATATTTGTAGAAGGAAGCGATGTGGTTGGACGCTTTTAAGCCTTGGATGCTCGAATTAGTGTTTCAACCACCGGGGAGTAAGAGACGATTATAATAAATACTCAAAACCATATGATTGTACAACCAAATTTTATACCATATTCTTGCAAATAAATGATTATTATTATTATTATTATTAAAAATATGTAATTTTTTTTCAAAATGACAAATTTAAAAATTGCAAAAAATTCAGCCCAGAATGTGGCTGGTATAGATGTTTTTAAAACCAACATAGTTCCTGGAGACTCAACTCCAACGCAATAAAGTGTTGTGAATCCATGAACAAAGCTTCCGATACGACGATTCTGATATTTGTAGCGATGAAAGTGATAGTCCGTATAGAAAAGAAAGCTCATATGATTTTTAAATAAATTAGGAAATATAAGAGTTATAAGATTAATTTTTTAATTTGTTAAATGTTTAATTAATATTAAAAAATCAATTATTGAATAAAATCTAATAAAATTTTTAAATAATACTTTTGCAATAAAATTTTCTTTTACTTAATGCTTGTTTATTTTTTTATTTTTAAATTAATATTAAATATCGACGTTCAATTAGAAATTATACTCCATTTTAGAGAATTTTTATTTGTACAAAAAAACAATGATTCAAAATTTATTATCATTTTAAAAACCATTTAATATCATTAATATCTAATAGAATATAATTTTTAAGTTTGAATCATTCAAATAATTTTAATTGATATTCTTCATCAAATTTTAAAAAATCACCCTCTAAAAAAAGGAGTTAGACAAATTGCTAACTAGACCGTCGATATATCAAATCAATATTAATTTTTTTGCAATTTTTAAATTTGTCATTTTGAAAAAAAAATATTTTTGATATTATTATAAGTCGTCTATTCTCCGTGTTGAGAACACTAATTGCATGGAATGTTAAAAGGTCGACAGCCGACAATGTGTCTGTTGACAAATATAGGTAACTCTTTTATCTACCTTAAATATTTATTATTTTAAAGAGTAGCCCATGAGATTTAATTAGAACTTTATATGATAATTAATAGAAAAAAATATTAATTTGACATATAATTAATAAAATAGGTTATAAACGTATAAAGATCGAAATCATACCTTTTAACTGGTGAAAGATGGGCATGTACGCAAGACGTATTTTTAGAATCTTCATATTAATTACCGTGATGTAGAGTTATTTTATTTAAATAATAAATGAACAATTTTTTACAAAAAACAATTAAAAATAATTTAATTAAAAATAATGGCGGCAAATTTTGATAGGCACCTAGTAAATATAACTCTTATTATAATAAAATAAAATTTGTTTTAAACAAATATATAGGATTGGTTAAATATTTAATAGTCTGAAACTTTTTAGGTCGACCTTTCAATAAAATTATTTCGAAACATTTTTAGCTTTCATATTCATTCCACAATCGAGAAACAAACTTTGTATTTACTTAAAATAGTTAAAATTGTAGATTCTTTTAGAGACAGACATTTTATTATTAATCCATAGTGAATGATTACCGGACAGATATCTCTTAACATTGTCTATAGTTTAATAAATTTATACCTTTCGTCATATTTCTGTTAATCTGGTCATAAACAAAGCATTATTTGCGGTTTAATTTTTAAACATACTTTCAACGAGAGCTTTATTAAAATATTAACACAAATTACACAATTTAACGAGAGCTTTCAGGATAGTTCAGCAAGCTTTAAAGCTTTAAGGAGTTTTATAACAAATTAACACTCGCGTAATAATATATATATACTTACTGAGTTACAAATGAATCATAATTTTGAAATATAAAGATCTTTTTAATACTTGTGAATCGTATCATACTGTGCTCTGCGTTATATCTGGGCCCGATCTGATGAGGCCTGGTATGTGCAGCCGTGTGTCGGTGATGCGGGGCCAGGTTGTGTCTCCCCAGGGGCTGGGGATAATCGGCATCAGAGTCTCCGTGGATAGAGAGGCTCGCTTCGGCTTCACGCTTACAAGACAAGGAGGATGGTACGTATTTAGTTAAGCGTTTAAGATAATTTTGGTCATATGTACATAGTATTCTGGATGACTGGATTTCAACTTCTGTCTTATTGATAATGTTTCTTTATAGAGAAGTAGGTGAACAGTCGATTCACATATTTCGAACGATGTTTTCCTTCACCGTAACAAGTGTTGTTTGAGATATATATATGCATAACCGGGGCTCAAACGCGCGACCGTTAGGTATAAGTATAAAGTATAAAATTTAAGAATAGTGGAACAAATAATAGATTTATTTCTCACGAAAATCATTCATACTTAGACGAGTTAGGGTCCGAACCGCGGACGAGAAGAGCGAACCAATTCCTAAAAGGCCGGCAACGCACTCGCGAGCCCTTTGACATTGAGTGTCCATATAACTTAACATTAGATGAGCATCCTGACCGTTTGCCCAGTTCTATTAAAAAAATTGCGCCACTTGAGGAAAAAATTTTCGATTTAAAATTCGGTTATTTCAATTAAAAAGATGTGTTTGTGAGTAATCTATATTTATTTAACACTGTTGCAAAAATCAGTTCAAATTATAGTAATTCAACAATAACGGGCAGCCTTATCGCTTTCAAGCGATCTCTTCCGGGAAACTTTCAAAATATGTACCCCCTTTGCGAATATGTAAAAAAATATTATTAATAATATAATAAAAATAAGACAAACACATGAAATACACGGAATGTCGTGGGACCGACAAAAAAAATTATTAAAGAAATACTTTTGTTTATTAAAAAATTTAGACATCGTATTGTAATCCTCACCCTTCGGGTTTAAGTCTGCTACACTGGCTGGCTGGTACGATTAAAATATAAAATATGTCTAAAACGTATTAGATTTTGACATACAGAAGTCATAGTCTCTTAATATCACCCTAAATGTTACAGTATATTGAGGTGCACGATCCCAAAATTGTGTCATCAGCGCTACAAACATTGAATTTAAATGAAAATATCATAGAAACTATTGCGGATAAAACATTTTAACACTGTAAATGTACCAATTCTTAAAAAGCCGGTAGCGGTACGAGCCTTCTGGCAATGTGAGTGTCTATGGGCGGCGGTATCGCTTAATATCAGTTGAGCCTCCTATCCGTTTGCCTCCTGTAACATTAAAAACTAAACTTTTTTTTTCTGACTGCTATTGTTACAATACAAACCATAATCAAATATACTATGATTAGTGTTATTCTGCAAAATAAAAAAAAATTATAACAATAAATACCTGAGCATGTATTAGTTAAACGTTACTTATACGTAATAACTTTGAAGATCAAAGTAACATACAAAATGTTATTTTTACACGCTTTATATTAGCTTCACCTGTATGTATGTAACCGACTCCTTCGGACTCGATTTTGACCCACATTAAACGGACAGATTTAATTCAAACTTTGTACACTTATAAAGAATCAGCGACAATATAATAATTTCATAGGTTTATCTCGAAACAACAATGAAATTTTTTTTAAGTCCACAAAGCAATACGATTAAATTGAGACAACACGTATTGCTGCTAGGACTAAAAAGTGGAAAATAAATATAGTTAAAAAAAAACTAAAAAGCACGCTTTTAAAGCACATCAAACTAAAAAGTGAAAAATAATTCCTAATTTAGGCTGAAAATGGTAATGAACAAAAAATACTATTATTATTGTGCTTTAAAAGCGTGTTTTTTAGTTTCTTTAAACTATATTTATTTAATTAAAAAACTCTTTAAAATATTTAAAAATTGTATTAAAAATGTTTTACGTGTATTTTTATGTATGTACAATAAAATTAAAAGAAAAACAAATTACATACATTATAGAGCGACCCTAGTAAGGAAAAAACTATAGAAAGAAATTTTAAAAGTAATAAGCAAGAAGTCTATATCAAAATCAACAACAAAAATTAACTAACAACACTTAAACAAATAACTAAAAGCTAATCTCACGGATTCGTGAATTACAATGCAATACAAAAGAATAAGAAATACAAGAATTACAAAAGTCACGATATATGCTATGAAATTAAGTATTAAGTTTGTTATGGAAGAGCTGGGAACAGGTATTTTTTACTTGTTCCCAAATCTTACACATTGTAATGCAGATGTATAAGTATTAGGCGGGCTGAAAAGTCCGTAGGCTAACATAGAAAAAATCATGTTTTTATAGAATTTGATTATTTGATATAGCCTTCGAGAGCGATACGAATATAGCGGTCATACCATTTTTATAGTACGATTTGTCTTAAGCCCCAAAATAGGCTTCAGTTTCAGTGAAGAGCAAAACGCTGTTTGTGAATTAAAAAAAAAATATAAGAAATTATTGTAAATAGTTTTAATTTTCAAAAGTGTAATAAAATATAAAAATATAGAGTTCTTGAAAACAATTACTAATTAATTCCTTTAAAATCCAAAATGTTCCAACAATGTCCTTTTTGGGCGTCTCGTATGGGCAAACGATTGCCCCTCATACTAAAAAAAAATTCAAAAACATCAAAACCATACTAATTAACCATGGTGCATGTTGCGACAAACATGGTGCAACCAATTTCTTTATTTCGAAACTTAAGTACCCATTTAAGTGAGAGAGTATGTGTTAAAAGAATATAAGATATATTATTGTACCAAAAAACAAATGAAAACCACAAACTTAACTTCGCAATTTGAATTCGATTGGACGGTAACAGATTAAAAATCGGTTTTCATCTTTGATCGTCCATAGACTATAAAGTATTAGACGTCAATTCCACTCCTTAGCTAAACAACCACCATAAATTATTACAGAAGCTTATAAAAGTACGCGCTCGGGTGGAGTGTAGTTCGCAAATTATTCGCTTGTTAATCGGAAACAGGCCCGGTGGCGACAGCCGACAGGCGAGGACACGTGCGACGATGGCCAGGAGTTATTTTAAGCTTACCCGCGACTTCCTTATAGGGTAAACACACCCTTTGTATGCAAAATTCATTCTTTACATAAATATCCGTTTTAATTAAGGACTAGCCGACAGACGTTGCCCTGTACGCAGGACTTAATTAAAAAAAAACATCAAAATCGGTTTAGGACTTTAATTACAACTTAAAGATATACTCATACAGTAATAGTTAGTACAAACCTCAACGACCTCTATAATATATTAAACATGTTTGAACTTCCACAAATATTTCAACATAAAAATTTGCCAAATCGGTCCAACTATTGTCGAGTTTTAGCGAGACAAACAAACAGCTATTTTTACCTATAATATAAAAACATCGTAAACACTTTAATGCATGCAAAAATTTATTCTTTAAAATTAATATAGGAACATAATATGTTATATTACGATTGAAAACAAAACAAAATAAATTACGCGTCTAATTGATAATCTTCTCCTTTTTTATCAGTTTAAAGTGTAGATAAAAGATGTAAATAAACACAGTTATGTATAAAAACATCAGATAAATTTATATATAAAATTCTCGTGTCACAATGTTAGTCACCATACTCCTCCGAAACGGCTTGACCGATTTTTATCAAATTCTATATGCATATTCAGTAGGTCTGAGAATCAGAATAAGTGATAGGGTGGCCCCCCCCTAACATTTTTTTTTTTTTATAATGTGCCATTAAAAATACATACAACCCTTAATTTTTACCCTTTTACATTCAACCCCTATTTTTTATTATAGTAGATATTATTTTTATTGAACAAAAAAAATGTTTCCTAGAAATAATATACATGGCAAAACAACGTTTGCCGGGTCAGCTAGTATAATATATATTTTCATAACAATTCACTAATGTTGAAAACAATACTTCAAAAAACATTAAAACGCTTATATTTTAGGCAAAACCAAATCTTCGAATGTCTACAAACAATTTTGTTTTATTTTTGAATGAATGGGAAATAAAAAATCTTAATTGACACTAATCACATTTACTTTATTACAATCCCAGCTAGATTTGCTCTTGTTATCCGAAATGCAACAATTCATTTTGACATTAGTCTCCGTATTCATTAAAACTAGTCTACATGCACTCTTTTCCGTCTCTTACTGTCAAATAAATGTCACGCAGTGATAAAAAGAGATGACTACTTGTTAATAAGATTCAATTAGATTAATTTATTTTTTAAATCCCGGTTTTTAATGATAAATTTCAACGAATAAATATTTATTTAAATCTAAAAGTGTAGACTAATAAAATAAAATCTATTGAAAATTCAAAATGTATTTTTAGATGATTCACAGGCCACTTGGCAAATTATTAATTAATATTTATTTATTGTATTTTTAACATTTATCATAATAAAACAAACAATATTACTTACAATGTTTGAATTTTGGTTCTTTTGCACGCTGTGACGTCATAAGACAAACGACGCCATGACATTAGTTTTTAAAACGTTAACAAAATATTTGATCGACATAAATAAATACGGATTTTATAGTGATATAAATATTGAAATACAATTATTATTCATAATTGAGATCTATTCGATTAACGTATTTTTAAGGTACACTTATTCCCGCGCCATCTCTATTCAAATTTTATCTGTGGCAACGCCCGCTTTTACGCATGGCCAATGTTGTCCGAGGTTTTGGCGCCATTTTAATTCACACGTTTCAATAAAATCATATGTTGTACTTACTTTGGCGAGACCTAAATTATTCTTGCATAAAGTGAAAGTATTTGCCAAACCAAAAATATATTAATAATGAATGTATAGAAATATTGATCGTGCTCGATACTTTAATTTCGGCGACAAAAATGTTCATGTTTGATCTGGTGGTATAATTTTGTTTAAATATTATTTATTAAAAAATACAATAATAATATACATTGCATATATAAGATTTGTCAAAATTTATTAATTATGGCTAATTACCTAATGTAAAATATTTAATATACCAAGCGTTTCGAAAATATCAAATGAAATGCTACGTTGCCGCAATTACCGTACATCCATAGCGTTAGAAAAATGGCGCCAAAAATAAGTTTGAGATATTAATTAAAGTTTAAAGTATAACCGTAAACATTTATTATTTGAATTTACAACATTGACGGCAATTTTCCACCTTCACACTGGATTATGATATTAGTGATTTTAGATATTTTTATAAAGTAAACAATTGACTTTCGACATTCTTCAGATGTTTAAATTGTAACCGAAATAAGGGCCAGACATTTCTGGTTCAGTTTCATTGATAACATTATTACAGGGGCCTCATAGCCTAGCGGTCTTATTAAGTGGCAGCTAGGTGAGGGGTACCGGGCTTGATTCCCGGTTCGAGGGCAAACTTTAATTTAATTTAAATTTGTTCTCGGCCTTTGGGAGGGTTGTGCGGTACCGGGCGAGTGCCTAAACCGTACATGGAGGACACGGTCGAATTTCTAAAGACAAGCAAAAATTATAATAAAATCATATACTTGACGCTGGCTAATGCACAAATCGTGCCAGAGCCATTAAAAAAAAAAAAAAAAAACATTACAAAGTGCATTGTGTCTAACCTCAGTCATTAGTGTCAGATTTTACAATAAGTCAAATTTAATAAACAGTTAAAGAAGTTTACGTAAGTAATTTTATATAGAAATAACAAAGAAATGAAAAATTCATTTTCAAATTATTTTTTGTGATCGCTTGTCAGCGTTAAGGGAATGAAAATCGTAAACATTACAGTAAATTAACTACCATCTTAGAACCAGACAATTTTATAGAACTTTTAGTAAATAGAATTTATCTGTCCAAATGGGAGCTATTCAAAGTAAGTGGGCACCTCAATTACACTCGATTCAAGCCGACATAGTCCTGAAGCTAATGGTGTATTTAATTGGTTCGAACGAGTTCAATGAACCATTGTTTCTTTGTTACATTCTAGTGATAACCCAGCGAAGCCATAGCTCCATTAGCTATAGATTATAAATGGAACTATATGGTTTTTAAATTTAGAATAATAGTTCGTATAGTGTAGTGTATAAACTGGAGATCTCCTGGATTCAATTGCTTATACATATTATTGAAGTTATACTTCTTTAGGCGCGTTATGAAAAATTGATGAGAGAGAAATTTTACGATGCGCGCGCACCTGAGACACAAAGTTGTCAGTGTGATTATAGCGTGCGCGAGCGAGATGGGTATAAGACAATCTACAAGTAAACAGAAATAGAATATGCGTGAAGTTAGCAGCTATGCCAAGAATTTTGAATGACCATAATGACATTTACCTTTTAAACAAATAAAGGAGTTTTAATTATTTTTTCAAAGAAATTTAGCAATGCTTTCTTATAACTTCTTAAAACTAATTATATAGGAAGCAACTCTTGTGAACTCAGCCAGTGTACAAACAAATAGGTCTACCTTAACAGAAATCCTATTTATTATATGTATTGCTCGCGTGAGTGGTGCTTCGCTAACCAAGTTGGAATGTGCGCGCGGTACATCCAAAAGTTGAGACTTCCGCCTCAGGTTTCTACTTGGTACCCGTAGACTCAGTCTCTCCATTATATCCACATTATAAACCCGACCCGTAAGTATCTTAAATATATACACTGACAAGGCTAGCTCTCTTCTGAGGCATAGCTGAGGTCGTAGTTCGATCCTCAGCTGTGAACTAATGGACGTTCGCATTGAACGCGTGTCAGGCTACCTACTAGATTGACAAAAGATCATGAAAAAGATACGGAAATCTGAGGCCCAGACCTAAAAACGTTGTAGCGCTACTGATTATGTTATTTTTAATGGAATAACAAATAATAAATTAATTATCTCATTTGAAATTTATTAAAACTTAAAACGTCATGCGGCCCATGTCTCACTCGCGTAAAAAATTTGGTGAATTCGTTTAATCGGTATTATTTAAATATTGTAAAACTATGTAAAATACACAGGGGACAAAATTCTTCAAATATCATTTCACATCGCGTGATCCATAAAAATATTTACAAACACGAGAGCTGCCGTGTAATTTCGTTATTATTAATTTTCGGACACGGTTATTACAAATACTTAACACGTATTACGTTAAACGGAAACGATCGGCCATTACCGAACCACGCTTTGATGTTTCTATATTTACAATTAACGTTTTTATTGGTTTAAGAAATTCCATTATTCCCGAGCGTTCAACTTACGAATTAAGATGAACGAATGGTTTATGTATTATGACGATAGCAGTGTATGTTTTTAACAGACTTCAAATGAATTAAGAAAAATTAAACCAATTTCGAATATTTGTCCAAAATTATATTCCTGTGTTCTCCCGGGGGTTTTCTGAAATGACCTCGTAGCCTACACGGCTTTGTAAGAAATACCCAAGGTGGTTTTAGTGGGTATTACTCAGTTTCTGAAGCAGAAATTCTGGTGTGGCTTGAATCCGACATACCTGATCTACTTTCAAGGGTTTGGTATGTGAAAAGGCATTTCCACGTCGGATATCAAAAAGGCTCACATAAAAACAGGTGTAATTGCTGCCAGACTGTCCAGTTTTGTATAAAAAATACATGGATATATATCTCAAAAACTACTGAACTGATTTTAATAAAAATTGCGCTGATCCCTGATTTAAATAATAAAGGAATATTCCATACTATATTACATAGGCTTGAGAACCTCAGAAGTCGTTTAAAAAGCCTATTTTGTATAACAAGTAAAATTGAATAAAAGCACAATTCACCGAATTATTATTGAAAAAGGTGTCAATGGTAGGTCAGAAAAAATATAAAAAAAACAATCTTACTCAAAATCTTATTAAAATAAAATTGTTAAATATAATTTTATCGTCATATCGTCATGCTTCAACACGCTACAGAAGTATTTATTCAGTAGACTTTATGATAAATTTTTTCAATCTATGGAGTCTGAGATAGTCAAACTATCCAGATACAAACTCGCAAATCACATTAAAATTAAGCTAGCCGAATTGGATTTCGAATCTACAGAGGCACTACATATCTTGGTATGACTTGAGGTTCCTAAAACTAACACAGACACAGCGCACGATCATAATATCTCTCAGCTACACTCTCAAATACCTGCGCATACACACCCATTTACACACTCAAACATTCACTCATACTTAATATCTTATAAGACATAGTTGTAACTCTAAAATTACTTTAAAAAAATCTGTTTTAAACATGTACCATGTACCTCGGAATAATTGTTATCTAGTTACCCACACAGGGACTCCCTAGTGTGGGGACTAGCGATATATGAATTTTCTCACAACCCTTTTGTCCTAAATAAAGTTTTTATTATTAATATTATTCTATTGCGTTTGGATTAGTTTTTATTATCTACAATCCTAAACTGTCATTCTCAAAACTCCATAGAGAAGTATCTCAAATACAAAGAATTCGACCTAGGGTCTAGCAGTATTAAAATTATCTATTATTTGAAATGCCAGTCAATTTAGGTTCTTAAATCGTAATCTTCGTACCAATACTTCCTAACAATGAACGAATTAAATCGTGATACTTTTAAGAATGAAAACCAATCATGAAAACTTCAGGTTCGACGTACTGGTCAACGGAGGTGGAGCCGTGACGCTGCAGTTCCAGAGGTCACCATTCAAACCATTACGGAAGACAGTCTTCGTGCCATGGAATCAGATCGTCGTACTTCCACCGGTTCAAATGGAATTGAGCGATGAGAGCGTTAAAGTACCAACACCAAGGTTAGTCAAAATTTATTTATTGATATTGGTAACACTATTTAAAAAAAAGTGCTTGTGTACAAAGTACACATGTCGGAAGCGAAACTTCTTTGACAAACTAATTTTTAAGTCTTGTTCATATTTATACAAATCTAAAACTTTAGATTTCTGAGACTTAGAGAGAGGGAAAAATGTGTGTATATATGTTAGGAATTTAATTTAATGAATTTAATTGTCAAAAATATTAAGTGTCGAAAATTAATACAAATATTACATTTTTTTAAATTTATTTCTTCGATAGTAAAAACACGTAGCATTTTCATTTACAATTCGACATTTGAGATTTCAATAAATTATTTTGCATAAAATACAAAAATTTCATAAATTCTCTTTACGAAATTTTAATCTTAAAAATAGAATTCCTACTCGTATTTTAAATAAATTACCCTCTCTCAATCGATCTCAATCGCTCTCTCCCTTTTCTTCAACAAAAACGCTGCACATCTTCGTGACGTTCCGTAAAAAAATTACCCTCATTTTTTTTTGCGCCTAAAGAAGTTTTACTTCAAAAATAAATGTCTTCCAACAGTTTTATATTTTATGGCTTTGTAATAATAATTACAGAGCTCCCCCACTTTTGGGCTGGTCCCCAATGCCACAATGGTGGGAATCCAACACGCCTCCGTGTGGAGTCCATGACCACGAGCGCCTAAGACCAGAGGTGGTGGCCATGCCGGCGTTGGCTGCACCCGCTGCTCCTTCGCCTACTACAACCACTGTTATATACCCTGAAGCTCAGGTAATATATATATTATTCTTTATATATATTTGTTAGGGTTTTATAAGATGCATTCCACAATTGAGCGTCTCTTAAGACACTTTGCAGCACACCACCACTTTATGCATCCAGCTGACCACTGAAGTATTTCTGAACCAATTTGTCTTAGGTACTTCAAGGATACCTTACAGCTTCTTAAAAGGCCGGCAACGCAAGCCTTCTGGCGGTGTGGTAATCTGCATAGCTGTTTAATCAACTGGCTGGCTTTCAGGCCGCTAGATAAACTGCACTATTTAGTTAAAAGGCTAAGCTGTTAATTAAACGGCTTATTAAGCTAGTTGGCTGCGACTGGCTGCTATACATTCTTAGAAGTAGCTCTTTATAATTATATTTAAAAAAATATATCTTTTCAGATTGTCAGTGAATCCATAGCCATACCCGGTTCCTCAGTTAAATTAACGTATCGTTCGTCGCAAGCTGCCGGTTATCTCTCCTGCGTGCATATACAACTGACCAGGAAAATAATACCCGCTGCCCTGACCAGGGTTCATGTGAGGGTGGAAATAGAGGGCTCACTTCACACACACACGTACGAGGCGGACCCAGACCTGACACATGTGTTTGCGTGGAACAAGAGAAATGTGTATAAGCAGAAGGTGAGGTTTTTATGATTATAATAATTCGCCAATGTTTCGGGTTTTGTCTAATTATAAGGATATATTCCACCTCATAAAGGAAGATGTGAGAAAATATTTGAAGAGGCGGGAAGACTTTCATTTTGTTTAAGCAGTAATTTGAAATATTGTATTGTATATCTATGTAATCTGTTTTGGATTTCTGTATTGTCTAAGTGTTTTGTTTTATAATATGTATGTTAGCTGTAAGATTACTAATAATTAAATTAATTAATTAATTAATCAGAATTGTAAGGTATTATGGTGAACATTTGCAGCTCACGCAGCTTAGTATTCCAAATTTCTTTATTCATTTTGGTAACACACTTGACACATATGAACGTCAATAAGGAAATTCAAATTAAATGATTCTAATTTTACATTTACTGCCAGTTCTCAAGAGTGTAGAACGGACAAGAAGAATTGGCAATGAAAAATATCGTAACATCGATGTTAACTCACGGCCTCCCGTACGACTAATGGAACTTACGAAACAATATGTCTTCTTAATTTATCTAAATCCCTTATCTCCAGGTATACGGTGAGGCCCAAGCGAAGATATCAATAGGATACGAATACACATCATGTTCGTCAATCGTCTGGGAGACGCAGACGGCGACGTTGGCTGGCTTCGACGTCGACATATCTGACATCGGGGGATGGGGTCTGGACATCCACCACCATTACAACTTCCACGAGGGCATCTTGCAGAAGGGAGACGGCGCTTTATTGCATTTGAAGAATTATCCTAGGACTGTTCAGGTATATTTTCGACGTCCGTCGTTCCACAACTTAGCGTTTTTTAAGATAGATTTTGCCGCGCACCACCACTGTAGAACCCAGTGAAGTATTTCTAAACTAATCTGACTTAGGGTCCTTCAAGAAAAGAGAGTACCAAGCTCTCTGGCATTGAGTGTCCATGGGCGTCGGTATCATTTAACGCGATTTCAATCCCCCATATTTCTCGAGTAATATTTCAGTAGTGTAAATTTATAATGATTTATCAAGTCCATAATTAGTTTTGCGTACCTTTGCGCCTGTTTCAATAACTTTACTAAATTCGTGTTCCGAGTTTTTGGATTGTCAAAAAAAACGGATTTACGAGAATTCTCCTACGCGATTACCTATAACGCGGTAGACCCGAATCGCGTTATAGGTAATCGCAATCGGGGGTATTAACGTATGTAGTCCCTATGTATACTTACTATCTATCGGCAAACGGTTATTTACAAACTTTGACAAGGGCTGACTGCATGTTCAGCATTGGACCCGCTACCGTTTTTATATCGTTCCATCTTATGTGTCTGCCTCTCTTTCGTTTCCCACTTCGTGGGTTCTGTTACGATTTTGTACCATTTTTGCTTCTTTTTTCCCATCATATAACCGTCCATCCATCTCCATTTTAGTTTTCAGTATGTGGTATGACGTATTTAAATTTTATTTTAATATAGCTTAATTTTATTTTATCTTTTTACTTCTGTACTTCTTTCCATAGTGTTTTGACAAATTTTTGTTCTATTCCCCATTTGTTCTGTTCATGCAACATACAACAAACAAGAAAATGTGTACAATTTATTATTGATTTCCTAAAATCACACAATTTATCGCCAAGCAAAAAAGCTTCCATTTTTTTTTCTGGAAACTGTTCAGGCGACGTCATTACGACTTCCTTGTGGATAAAACTAGATGCCTGGATTTTTATATTAAAACCATTTATGCTTTGACTTGGCCTTGGAAAACACTACTCTATAGCTAGATAGATAAATCGTAAATATTTCCAGGTGGTTATGGGAACTGGTCTCCAAAGAAGCTTGGACTGTCCCGATCATTGCAACGGGAAGGCCGCTGACTCCAGACTTCTCACTCCGACAGCTTTGACATCTGGTCCTGATGGTTCTCTTTACGTCGGAGACTTTAACTTGGTTCGACGTATCACACCCGAAGGCGTCGTTACAACTGTTCTTCAACTACAGTAAGTACCAGTACAAGGGTAAATTAAAAAAAAATCTTTACGCACGTTTTAAATACAAAAAAATGCTCTAAACCATTCTCGAATACACTTGAACTCACACAGTTTTATCAAAATCGGTCCAGCTGGTTAGGAGTTGAATTTTAAAAAACACAATATTTAATATATTATATAAACGCCAATTATTTGTATATTCTAAATAAATGTTAAAAAGGTTTTCATAAAGCATTTTTGTTCCAATAACATCCAAGTTATGACGATGGTGACACTTTAATATCACCTTGAGATTTAGTTGATAAAAAACCGAATCTCTTAATTCAATTATTAAACAAAATAACCTAATTTACATTAAAATTACTACTCAAAGCATCTATCTCTTTCTATCTGTTGATTGTGATTAAGTGAAAGGGACAACTCTAAGGTAGTTTTTAACCGACTTTTAAAAATTGTATGTTGAAATTGATGGACTAAAATACTACTTGGATTTGATAATTATTTTTTTTATAATAAAGTACCTTCCTTATTATAAGTATGGCCACAAATTAAAAGCATTGTTTCATTTATTTAAATTACTTACGGAACAGTGCTAGTCCCATCGAAATCAGTGCAGCAGTTTTTAAGATATGGGTTTTATTATTGGATTATGGTACACAATAAATTATACCGTATATAAAATTATCCTGAATTTTTCAGGACTACGCAAATGGCATACCAGTACTACATCTGCATATCTCCAGCCGACGGCTACTTGTACATATCAGACTCCGAGAGGCACCAGGTCAGACGAGTGATAGTGCTGGACAAAGTGAGAGACCCCACCACCAATTCTGAACCAGTGGTTGGGAGTGGTGATCGGTGCGTCCCAGGCGATGACTCTAACTGCGGTGATGAAGGACCTGCTATTAAAGCCAAGTTGGCCCACCCTAAAGGTTCGTTGATGAACAGATCAGTCTTCTTAGGTTACCATCTTTTTAGGTCTGGACCTCAGATTTCCGTATCTGTTTCATGATCATTTGTCCATGTATGGGTTTACCAACAGGGCTGAGTAGGCTGACAGCCTAGGGCGGCAAATTTTAAGGGCGGCAAATTTAGTTCATAAATTTTTTATTTCGGTTTACAAATTAAAAAAAAAATTATTATACTCACACATAATACGAATTTCGAAAATTGGAGAGAAATTAAAATATTTAGCAAAAATCGAAATATTCTCATATACAGTGCTAATTAATAAATATTTTAACATCTCTGCATGAACAATTCTTAAACGCTTTACTAATTATACATTAATTATTATAAACTTTTAGAATATCGCGATTCGATATTATAATCAAAATTTAGTAATTTTACATATACATATCTTCATTCTTCACTGATAACTGCTATAATTTTTTCTCCGTGTACCTAATAATTATGAGATCTGCTTACCCAATTCAATCGATATAATATCGATGGTCTAATAAAAATACTGACTAAAATTTACTAATTTTTATTAAATAAAGTTAAATAAGTCTGTCTTCATTCCTGCAAGAACAGAATCTAAGAAACATTTATCCAAACTTGGATATAGCACTTCGTATGGCTCTTTATACACCAGCGGCAAATTGTTCAGGTGAAAGAAGCTTCTCCTGCTTGAAGAGAGTAAAGAACTACCTACGATCGACTTTAAGTCAAGAAAAGCTAAACGCTTTAGCTCTCTTGTGCATAGAGTCAGAGCTAATGAACAAGATTTCGTACGAAGATATAATAAATGATTTTGCGAATTCAAAGACTCGCAAAAAAGTATTGTAATGCTTTTATAATTTAACTTAAATCATAATGCTAACAAATAATAAAGAAAAGATATATTTACTGTATTGTTTTTAAACTATGACTGTAATAATAAATGTTAATCAACGTTCGCCAAATGTATGTTTTTTACGTAAGCTTAATTCATATTTTTTAGTATTGTAGTTTTAAGACATACCTTACCTTCTTTAAAAGTGGTATTCGATTGAGATATTTTTTTCTTAAAAAATGTTTTTTGATAATTCTTTGTGAAAAAAATAAGGATTAAACGTACCATATTCTCAATAATAATAATATATGGGAAAAATTGACGTAGGGATGAGGACACAAATTAAGTTGGAATTTTATTGATAGAAAATTGATGTGATTGTGGTAAGAATCAAAATTTAGAGGCAAAATTGAGGCGGCAAATCTATAAATCCGCCACTGTAATAGGCAAGTAGGCAGCCTCCTCCTGTCGGGTCTAAGGCGAGCCGGTTTCCTCACAATTTTTTCCTTCACCGTTCGAGCGCATGTTAAATGCGCATATAGAAAGTCCATTAGTGCACAGCCAGGGATCGAACCTACGATTTTAAATTATATTAAAATAATTTCATGAATTATTATTTATAATTAATTCATAAGCTTCTTAATGATTAACAATTTCTTATACTAAACATTGATATACATTATAATAAAACACCACTCTTATAAATGCAACAGTTGTGATTACGTATTTCTATCATCAGGTCTGGCTATAGCAGCAGATAGGACCATGTACATCGCAGACGGAACGAACATCCGAGCAGTTGACCCCAGCGGAATCATTCATACCCTCGTTGGCCACCATGGCCATCACAACCATTGGTCACCTGTGCCCTGTCACGGTGCCATTGCCCCCTACGAAGCCCAACTTCAATGGCCCACCGGCGTGTCCCTATCCCCACTAGATGGCTCCCTATACTTCATAGACGATAGAGTCATCCTCAAACTCACAGTCGACATGAAGATAAAGGTGGTCGCAGGCCAGCCCTCGCACTGTCGACTCGGAAGTGACGGGAAACCCATAGCGAAGTCGAACAAAACGACCGATTTCAGAGAAGACTCCAATCTGGGGACTATTCTGGCGATCGCGTTCGCTCCGAGCGGAATTTTATACGTCGCAGAATCGGACTCCAAAAAGACGAACACGATTAAAACAATAGACCCGTCCGGAAAAATACTGCATTTTGCTGGGAAATTGCAGGAGAATTTGAAGGAACTGAGCTGTGAATGCAACTCGTCTACCGTTATTCCGGTGAATCCCAGGGATGAGGCGGGATGCCCTTGCAGGCTGAGTGTAGTTGTTGGGGATGAACCGCCCACGAATACGGAGACGCTGTTATCGTCTAATGCCAAGTTCCAGACGATATCTGCTCTTGCTGTCACACCGGATGGTGTACTCAATGTAGTTGACCAAGGTAAGTTTTAGTCTTTACTTAAATAGAAATACAATTTGCTTAGGTAAAAGACAAAGTCAAAAATCATTTATTCATATAGGTACCACAATGTACACTTATGAACGTCAAAAAAACGAAATACATGTACATTAAATGCTTCTAATTTTACATTTACTGCCACTGAACTCTCCGCCACTCTTTTTAATCGCCATGTTAAACTCAGCATAGGAAGGAAGGAGGAAGGTTTCTCTGGAACGTTATCAGGCTATTAGCCTGCCTTAGAAAATGATATAGATCTGGAAATTTAGCCTTGATGGTAACGACGATTTCCATGGTAACGACGCGTAACGAGCAGGAATCTTTAGATATTCAGCTTACACTATATTAAAAAAAAAACTATAATTAGCAGAAAATTACTTCAAGTGTTTATTAATCTTCTTTAAATTTTCATATAGTACCCACATGTTTTTTAAAAATGAAATACCCTCATACATTATAACTTTTTTTTTTCAGGCTCCCTTCACATACTGGCTCTCAAGCATTACCTACCCTCACACGACGAAAACGGCGAATTCAGAATCCCCTACCCACCAACATCCGAAGTGTACGTCTTCAACAGATACGGCCAACACATTACAACCAAAGACCTAACATCAGGAAAAACAAGATACTCCTTCCTGTATTCCAAAAACACCAGTTTTGGAAAATTATCAACGGTCACAGATGCGTCTGGAAACAAAATACAGCTTTTGAGAGATTACAGTAACATTGTCAGTTCTATAGAAAATACTCAAGATCATAAGTTGGAACTGAAAATCTCTGGAATCGGATATTTGACAAGAATCACGGAGAAGGGATCTTCGGAATTGGAGTTTGATTATGACGCTAATTCCGGATTGCTTAATAGTCGATCGGGGGTGAGTACGATTTATCTATTAAAATTCACGTGATTTATATTCTAAGATAGTCCCTTTTTAATTTAGCGAAAATGTTATTGGAAAGAAAGAGACAAAGCGATTTTATTTTAAACTGATTTCATTAATAGCGGGTATTAATCAAAATCATCATAGTTTTATCTAAGTAGAGTTAGTAAGTGTGATGGTTTCAATGGTTGAAAGCACTATATAAATTCTTCTATACAAAAAAAACACGAAGTCACCACTAACTTTTGTCTAATTTTGTATTTATTTAATCATTGCGAGTATTATGGAGACAAAAAATAATTGTATTACAGCACCATTAGTTTGGCCGTGGGTTGTTACTAGCGTTTTTATTAAACATCCTGGCCTTTATTTCATTTTTGTTCCGCGAAATACATGTATCGTTCGTCTTATCTCACGCGAACTTCAGGTATACGTTTGTTTCACTAGAGCGGGGAGACGAGCCGATGAAATCATGAATTGCTGGCCTAATGTGCGCTTTTAACAATATATTATAACAATATCGTCGAGATACCTGCCTACTAATAATCTTTGATAATTTTAATATTCATTATATTATACAATATTCTAAATCAAGAATCGAACCTAGGACTTTTAATTTCAACTCCTTAAATAAACCTGATGCTGATGCAGAAGGTCCAATAAGAGTAGACCAATTAGAAAAAGTACCAATTCTTAAAAGGCCGGCAACGCACTCGCGAGTCCTCTGGCATTGAGAATGTCCATGGGCGGCGGTATCACTCAACATCAGGTGAGCCTCCTGCCCGTTTGCCCCCAATTCTATAAAAAAAATAAAGAGTAGCAGAAGTTTCAAAGTTCAGCTCCAGCATGTAAGATTTTGATAATAATTACCAATTATTCACATACAACGTTTTATACAGGCTAGTGACACCGTGATATACGTCTACGACGAGCTGGGTCGAGTGACAAAAATAATAATGCCATCAGGCGAACAAGTCCACATTGCGTCTGGATTGGCTAAAAACTATGGCCTCGCCGTGACTGTCTCTAATCCCGCCAGCACCATACCAGTTGGAGTAGCCAAGAAGTGCGAATATGTCTTACACGGGCAATCGTTCAAGCAAATCACAATCAATAACGGAAAACAAATAACCGAAGGAAAAATATACACGAACAACACCATGGTACTTGACACGCCCTGGTCCGGCAAATTCGAGAGTATTGCCGCTGCGAAGCATCCCCTGCTGGAAGCCGCTTTGCCTATCGAGGCGGAAATGCTGCGAATGTGGTCACACCAAACGACAACATTCGGGGATGCCCTCATAAACAACATGTACTCCTTGTACACCTTGGTTGGTGATGTCAGGAATCCACAGCAGACACTTAACCGTGAGATATGGGTGAACGACTCGCGAGTTCTAATCATAGAATTCGACCAATTCAAGAGCAGAGAAACGTTCTTCAACGCTGATAGAAATCCACTTTTCACAATCTCCTATGACGTCGCCGGATTACCTTTATCGTTCACACCGCACGGCGCTGGAGTTCCTTTGAATATCTCCTACGATCGTTTCTATAGGATAAACGGTTGGAAGTGGGGTGTGACCGAGGAATCGTACAGCTACGACCCGCACGGCATGCTCTCAGAAATAACGAGTCCCCAGGATGGAACAAAGTTCATTTATTACAACGAAGGGAACCTCGTCTCCAAAATATCGTTAGCGAGTCAACGGAAGTTCACGTACAAATACGACAAAGATGGCGGTCTGACGCACGTCATTTTGCCGTCGGGTACGAACCACTCGTTCAGTGTGCAACCGTCGATCGGGTTCATACGTGTCACGTACACACCACCCGGCTCTTCCAAGAAGTATCTTCAGCATTACTCGCATTCCGGTGAACTGCTTCAAACCGTTTTCCCCGGGGATGGCGCGCGAATCATCTACCGATACTTCACGACAAATAAAATATCCGAAGTGGTTCACGGGGACGGTCAGACGCAAATACATTACGCAGAAAACAATGGGTTGCCGTCTGAAATCCTGCACGTGGACCGCGAAGTTGACTACCGCTGGGAGTCGACGTACGTCGGGGGATTGCTCGTAGAAGAGAGACTGGATTACGGCGCCAAAACCGGCCTCAGTAACGCTAAGATCATCTACGAATACGACAGCAACTACCGAACAGTGGCGGTTCAGGGACGGATCGGCGGGCAAACTCTAATCCCGTACCACATCGTCTACAACAGCAAGACTGGAGCGCCAGAACTGTTGGGTCAGTTCACGGTTTCCAAGCAAAAGTGGAACGAGACGTCCGTGTACGACGGTATCGCGATGTTTTCCCGAACTCTGACTGATCAATTCCTGGAGCGGGAGATAACAGTGAATATCCATAGAATGGAAGTGTTCAGGATGGAGTTCTTCTACGATAAACATGGAAGGATCTCCCAGACGAGAACGCATACGCGGAACGTGGGCGTGAATACGTACACAAATGTTAAGAACTACACGTGGGACTGTGACGGACAGTTGACAGGCGTAGAGGCACAGGAGCCCTGGGGCTTCAGATACGATGATAACGGGAATATGCTCTCAATGACGTATAGGGAAAACACCATTCCCATGGGATACAATGATATGGATAGGATAATTAAATTTGGGGAGGGGCAGTATAGATACGACAGTCGGGGGCTCGTTTGGCAGAATGCCAGAGAAGAGAAATTCCAGTATAATGCCAAAGGTCTACTTATAAGAGCGACGAAACGTGGAAGATTTGATGTTAGATATTACTACGATCATCTAGATCGGTGAGTACTTTGAAATATCTAAATTCCTATATATATTAAGTTATTTATTACAATTTATATGTCTGTATCACAGAAAGTATTTGAAAGTAAATAGACCTACTATTAATATACAGTTAGAAATCGGTTTTATTTTAGTAATCTAATAAAATATAAAATTAAATTAATGAATTATAAAATTAAAAAACTAAATGGTCGCACACCATACGACTATACGTTTAGCCTTTATTGCACAATATAAAACAACATTAGAAAAAACGCTAAACGAAAAAAAAAAAATTTTACCAAGCAACCATATATATATTACATTAGAAATATAACTAAAAATCTGATAAATATTGTTATTTTCTTTTTTAACAGTTTGTCTACAAGAAAGGATAACTTTGGGAACGTAACACAATTCTTTTACACGAACAAAGCTAAACCTCACGAAGTTAGTCACATTTACTCGCCCAGAGAGAATAGATTCATAACATTGGTGTATGATGACCGCGGACATATCATTTATATGCAGGTAAGTCCGTATATATTTTTACGAATAAAGCGCTGAACCCAAATAAGACAATTTTAATAAAGTTATTATAGATACTAAATTATTGTTTGTAATGAAAAATTCTGTAATGATACAAAAATGCAGTCTACCCCCAAATGAGGGTAGTGGCGTTGACTCAATTAAATTAACAAAAAAAGTAATAATTTAAGGTTTTAAATTTGTTTTAATTTTCTATTCCTTAAGTTTTAATTATTATTAGGTTAAGAATATTGTAAATACTATATATTTCTGTGTTGAAAATAAATATCATATATTAAATTGAAAAAAAAAACAGTAATATTGCACATTAAACATAATGATTTAATAAATAATATTAATGCCTTCATTTTGTATTAAAGTAGGCTCTGACTTAGGCGGTCCTAAGTTCAATTCCCAAAAAAAAATTAAATATTTTGGTTATACAATACTACTACAGTACAATACTTTAAGTCCAAAAATGACAACAAATGACATTATTATTTTTAGGTGGCTCGTCACAAATATTACATCGCCACCGACCAATGCGGAACTCCTGTGATGGTCTTCAATCAATATGGCGAAGGCATCAGGGAGATGATGAGGTCCCCATACGGTCACATAGTGTACGACTCCAACCCCTACCTTTATCTACCCGTGGACTACTGCGGTGGTCTATTAGACCAGGTGACGTCATTGGTCCACATGTCGAACGGCAAAGTGTACGACCCTCTCATTGGTCAATGGATGTCGCCATTGTGGGAGAGTCTGATGGAGAGAATCCATGACCCGACGCATTTGCATTTGTATAGATTTAACGGGAACGATCCTATTAATGTCAGGCCGCAGAACAAGAAGCCAACTGGTAAGTGGATTTGTCATTCGTTCTCTTTTTTTGCTCTCCTATTCAGTTGTAAAAGATTTTTGTCCAAAATTTAAATCTATTTAAAAAAGAAGTGTTGGCCTAGTAGCTTCAGCGTGAGACTCTCATCCCTGAGGTCGTAGGTTCGATCCCCGGGTATGAACTGTCTATGTGCGCATTTAACATTCGCTCGAACGGTGAAGGAAAACATCGTGAGGAAACCAGCTTGTCTTAGACCCAACACAACGGCGTGTGTCAGGCACAGGAGGCTGATTACCTACTTGCCTATTAGATTGACAAATGATCATGCAACAGATACAGAAATCGGAGGCCCAGAACTAAAAAGTTCTAGCGCCAATGACTTTAATTTTTTTAAAAGGCCAATTTCTAAGGAATTCGAGTAGAAAGTGATACTTCATAATGAATCTAATGCAAGATGCCATATTAGCAGGATACTTGGATAAACCTTAATAATAATCTTTTTCAGACCACTTATCATGGCTCGAACTGCTGGGTTACGACACCAAGAGTCTCGCCCCACAGCTGTACCCAGACGAGCTGCCCGGTGGCTCAGTCTTGCCGAGGATCCCTCGCGGCCGACCTTTATGGGGAATGGCACCCGACTCCAGCGGCCCCAGTCTCCCATACGCGACATCCCTACTTCCGAGCGTCATCATAGAATCAGGCTTCCTGTCACACATGTCCAACAAGAGAATAGCCGACTTCAGAAGCCTCTCCATCCCGGCGATGTCCGCTCTCAAGGCGGACGCTCTCGACCTCACTCCGAAAAGAATCGGCTCGGACTCCGAACCACCCTTCGGACGTGGAATACTCGTCTCCAGAAACTCCCGCGGAAGGGCCGTCGTCACCACCGTGCCTTCCGCCAACGCCATCTACCGTGACGTCTACACATCAGTATTCAATCGATCTCATTTACTGCCATTCTCCTTCGTCGTCCACGGAGACCAGCAGGACGTCTTCTACTTCGTGAAAGAGGAGACCTGGCGCGCCGCGGACGACAAACAGCAGCTGAAGAGGATGCAGGGCAAACTGAACGTGACGTTCCACGAGGTGACTGAAGGCGGCCGGTCCTACGCCGACGTGAAGATACACGGCCAGACGAGTATCGTGAACCTTCGATACGGAACCAGCACGGAGAGAGAGAAGCAGAGACTCCTCCACCACGCCAAAGCGTCCGCCATCAGAAAAGCGTGGCACCGAGAGCGCGAGATCCTTCGGGCCGGAATGGGCGGCTCATTGGACTGGTCGGCTGCCGAGTTGGAAGAGATCCAGAAGGCGGGTTCCGCGGCCGGCTACGAAGGGGAGTACGTTCACGACGTGGCGCGGTACCCGGAGCTGGCCGAAGACCCTTACAACGTTCGCTTCGTGAAGCGACGCTCGGACCGCAGCGAGCGTCGCCGCCGGAAGCGCTCGGAGTGCCCCTCCCCTTGGTGGCTCGCCTGGGAAGAACTCTGCTAGTGACGAGCCGTCGAATGCCAAATCGTGTGAATGTCTAGTGTGAGAGAGACGCGTGCGTGATAATATATTTTGTAAATAGTATCTATTAATTGTTAATTGTTGATGTATGTACGGTAGACGCGAATCCCTATCGCTGTGTAAATATGGAATTTTATTTGCAGGAAAGGATGGACCTTTTGAGAGGACTGATATGAAATAAATGTATTATAGATAAGATTTATGTGAATATGAAATTATTTATACTTATTTATCGGTAAAAAAGCTTCGATCGTGTCCAATGTTCTTATAAATTTAGATGAAGACTATTTGAAAGAATAATAAAAAGGCATACTTTTTTAACCAAACTGATGTTTTATTTATTACTTTTTTGTTATGTTATTTACCTTAAACAAACGTTTCCTTCATCACATTAACCTCAAAAACAGTTTAATATTTTTACCTATTAAATGACAAAGATATAATCTTTGAAATTGAACAAAATTTGTTTCTCATAACTCAAAGGGTACACGGTAGGTACAAGATGTCAGTCCAACAAATTAGGGCAATCAGTAGAGAAGCAAGCTCCTAGAAAGTGATCTTGCTTGCTACTGATACTCCTAGAGTGAAGAAGATTTAGAAGTACGGTTATTTATAAATTAACGACACTATTCCAAATAAATACTTGGATAGATTAGATATAATATACAAACAAATATACTGCCTAATAGAAAGGCAATCGCCGAAATTATGTTGGTTTCCGCCAAAGGTTCCGTCAATGTTCCAGCCATATTGGAGCCAACAGGCATCGCTAGAGACCATGGCAAGCGGCCGGATGGGGGGCCGTTGATCTCTGCAGGATGTCTTGATGGAGGATGGGATGGGCATTGGTATGGGATGCTGCTTGTGTAGACACGTTAGCCCCGTCTCATCTCCCTCAGACTAAAACTGGCGCGGCTGCAAAGCAAGTGGAAAACAACAAACGCCTCAAATATATTTTATATATAAGACTCTTTCCACCAACTTTGATTATATTCCCTTTGGCGCCTGGTCGATACTACCTACCGGTGACTGCAGAGCTGGAGCTGAATCTCACTAAACGAATAAATATCGCAATACAGCGATAAAATGCAGCCAGTATTAAAGGGTACACTGCCACAGGGACAAAACTTTTTTATATTATTTATTAATAATATTTTATATTTATCCAGTTTTTTATGCTTTATTTACGTTAGAATATTTAAAAAAATACCCATTCAATTAAACTTATAGATAACAGTGTGCCAGCTCGACGCTACGCAAGTTTAGTTTCTGACAAGTCTAGATACAGGTGTCTAGGCTCCGAATATGATTTTGTCCCATTCGGTGTCGAGACCCTTCGTCCGTGAGGTCCTAGCGCTATAATGCTTTTTAAGGAAATAGCAAAAAGGTTAGTCGACATCACTGGAGGCCGAAGAGCTGGCAGCTACCTCGGACAAAGATTTAGTCTAGCTATTCAAAGGGTGAACCAGTATCTGCGGAAAGGGACACCTTTTAATAATATATTTTAGTTATAATATTTTTCAAGGTGTTTTGTTTAGATTCAAATAATGTTATTTTTACGTTGCTTAATTAAGGTAATACTTGATATAAAATTCCTAGTCTAAATTAAATCTGAATTCTACGTAACTTCTACTATCACCCACAGCCCCACGTCACCACCCACGCACCTGTCAATATATAAAATTAGCTTCTTTATTAACAAATGACGTGTGGTCAACAGCCAGAGGAATCTTGCTGTTAGCTAGAATACGCCTTAATAGAACTAAACCTTTTTTTTATGCCAGTTCTTCAGAAGAGCAGCATTTAATGTATATTTCTTTTGCTTGACGTTCATAAGTGTACATTGTGTTACCTATAAATGATTTTTGACTTTGAACTAGTGAATCTAGTATAGCGTAGTAAATATACTTTGGTGCCAAAACGTTACAGAATAATATGACTGTTAATTATAATTAAGCTATTTAGGTTAAACTAAGACAATGTGAACTACTATTGCAGAAAATTTAATCAGCATATTACGTTTTATTAAACTGGCTAGATTGTATTTCAAATAAAATCCTTCTCTTATAAACTTTATAGTTAAAAAGGAAAAAACTTTTACACAACAATTCTGCATGCGTTAGTGCCCATGCGCTAACCCATCTTCATAACGTTGACTGCTAGTCTTCAGTACCGCTACATACACTGTTCAAAAACTATTTCTTATGGCATCTGAAGTTCAGAAATAACAAAAATACTAGTCTGGCCATAAATACTGTTACATATAAACTTACCTTTTTTTCCACTTTTTAATTATTGTGAATTTGGAACACGTATATTATTTTAATAAACTCTTTCGATTTTGAAATGGCAATATGGAATGGGGTGTTAAAGTGGGTATAGAGCCGTCGGTCATATCCCAGACACTTCAAAAGCTTGGTATCGTACTATCAACAGATACAACAACACTTCGTCTGTCGAAGACCAGATCGGGGCGGCCGCGTGCTGTTAGAACTACAAAGGCTGTTATTGCTGTTAAAGCCAGAATTCGTCGAAATTCCATTAGGTAGCAAAAAATCTTATGGCGAGAAATGAAGATTCCCGCTATGACGTCGCGTATTATAAAACAAGACCTGAAGCTCGGTACTTATCGTCCATATACAGGGCATGCCCTAAATCAATATTTACAATAAAAGTGGGGATCGATCAAAACGCCTTCTGTCGCGATACGCAAGCAAAAGCACAGAAATATCCTCTCTACCGATGAAAAAATTTTCACGATTAAAGAACAATGATAAAATGTACGCTCACAGTGCTAAAAAAGCTGCTCAAATGGTCGGAAAGGTACAACGTGGTCATCATCCTGCGTCAGTGAGGGTTTGGTGGGGTGTGTCTTATCAAGGAGTCACAAAACTACATTTTTGAGAAAAAGGAGTGAAAACTTCAGCCAAATTGTATCAAGATACAGTCTTGGATCATGTTATTAAAATATACCTTGGACTTTCCAGCACGATTCTACACCTGGTCACAAGGCACGAACTACCCAAGCCTGGCTTGAAACCAACGTTCCGGTCTTTATAAGAGCTGAAGACTGGCTCTCATCTAGCCCAGACCTTGACCCTTTAGACTTCAAATTTTGGTCAGTGTTAGAGGACATGGCCTATTCTAAACGACACTGGAACATTGAGTCTCTTAAAACATCTTTGAGGCAAGCAGTGACGAAATTTCCCTTGGAAACAGTGCGTAAAACACTAGATTCGTGGCTTTTTCACTTCAAAATGTTTTTACAATTAATGAAATGTAAATAAAATTGATAATCTTCATCTAATTTAATAATTGAATTAAATTAGTATCTTATTTAATTTTTTGCACATCTGACTTTTTTTTTTCGGAAAATGATCAATTATTTAAAATTTATACACTGTATAATGCTTCCTATATTATTTTCTCCCACGTTACATCTTATGAATGTATTTTTCTGTCGCTTTTTCGTTTCATCGACTTTCAAATCACAACGATGCTAAAGAAGTTTTCACATGCAAGTTCAAAAAGGCATTTTCGATTCTCGAAAGACATCTTTGTATGTGTGAATATATCCTGTTATTAAATAAAACAAAACCTGTGAAAAACTTATTTATTTATGCTCGAAACATTACTTTCAGAACACTTAAACTACTTTACAATATCAATTTATACACAATTTCATTAACACATTCATAAAAATCTTATACACATTCGTTAAGCGTTCAGACGCACATATTTACAACATAACATTGGAAACTTACAAAAAATCTCCATTTAAAAATAAAAAATTATTCCGAGTTAATTTACATAATTCCTCTACATTGAGCTACGTGATAATGAGATCAATCCGCACGATTAAACTACTTGTAAAAATATAATTATTGTATTTAAAAATAGAACGCATTATGGAAAAATATTCTCGCCGTAAAAAGCAAAACATTAAAAATTGTGCGTAAAACATTTGATCTCAAAATACTAAAGTTCGTTAAAAATTATGAATCATTTTAAAAATCGAACGAGTTGTATATCCAACCAAATTGGCGGGAATTTTCTATAGAAAGCGCATTTGACGGTTCTATACAAAAACCACACGTTATTACGGTTAGTCAGATATAGAAACCGGCCGAAATTAGAGGTATTAAGTTGGGAGTTAGGAGGCAGTGAAGTTTAAACATATTTGGATGGTCGTACGTATTATTTGAATATCGGTTCTGTCTTATATACGAGACAATAGTCAATGATACCTGTCACATGCAATGAAATCATTATTTGTTTTTTTTTTAAATTTCGTATTTAAGTACTACTTAAAACTTAAAGATCTTGATAAAAATGCACTTTGTGCAAGAGAGTCACCGTCAATTATGGCGGCTTATAAATTTTATAAGCTTCTTCTCCTGAAAAAACCAAAAATGTTTTAAAGGGCGTGACCCGCCTATTGAACCTGGAAATGGTCACGTAATTACGTATTGTCCATCAATTATTAGATTTATCGTTAACTTCAATACAGAACTAAGTACTTCATTGTTTTGACACGAACTATTTTGGACTATAACTATGTTCGTTAAAATGACATTTAACGACTAACAAGGCAGTGTGTGCGACAGAGACAACGCTATACCACGAAATGAAACGATTGTCTCTTTCTAAAGATCGATGTGGAGTATCGCCGGGAACTGCTATATTGTGAATGCAGTAGATATATTATCTAGGATCAGTACCCTGATTTTGATAATGTACTACTAATATTTGTTTGTAAATTCTTAAATTTCACATCGTTGGCGCTATAAGAAGTAACATACAAATTTACGTTTTTAATTTGTCAAACACCTGTCATTCGATATTTGAATTCACTTGTCTCGTGATTGGTCAATTTAGCCAATCACGACATATTCGAAATTCAAATTAAATTTTTGTTTATAAATATCGCCTTTATTTCATTGAAATTCTACTTGTATACATCATTGTACTTTATTGTTCTATTTACAATTGGCTTATAATACTGATTCAGCCGTGTATAACTGTATATACTATATATATACAAAAACAACATATCATTGACTTTACATACGTTATAAACGTACTATAAGCCTAAATTAGTTGAATAACGTTTAATTAGTAGATTAAACATTCATGGCTATTTGAGGCTTTATAAAACGTGGATGAAGTTATTTGTTACCATGGTTACCACTGTATTTATACCATGGTAACAGATATTGTACTACTATTAACGCGTTTTATAAAAGCCGTTTCTCTAACGCCTTACAATTCGTATTTTCGACGGATCGTAGATCTCTGTTTTTAATTTACAACAAATTTACATGCCTGGAGGTTAGTTTTATTACGAGAAGATTTAAATACACTTTTACTGGATTAAAACGCATTTTACGAGTTAAGATAACCATTTCACGTCGGGAAAGTTAAAGGTTTTAAGTAAAATTGGTTTTTTTTTTAAAATATATTTTGAAGTTTTCACCCAGGTTTTTAGGTACCCAAGATAGAAGGGAAGAATTTAATTTTAAAACATTTATACATTGTAAAAGATACTTCTACTTTGAAGCTATAAGAAGGACGTTAATCATTAATTAAGCAAAAAATCCATAATTAAAAATATTGATACGGCGGTCACGTGACAAAAAATGACTTATTCTAATCCCAGTGGAGGGATTTTTTAATTTCGTCAAAGACTTTATCGTATATATATTAGATATATGTGTTTGTGACGCCATTTTGATTCTTGAAATTACGAAATAAAAATTTAAACATAACAAATTTTAAATGCGTCCCTATTTGTTTGGCTTGAGGTATATTTTACAATGTTTAAATAGAATAGGTAAATATTAGAATATAACTTTGTGACGTCAATAATATAAAATACTTTAATTAAACTATTCGATTCGCCATGTGTCAACCCAAAGCTTCATTAAACGTGGACTAAAGATAGTGTTAATTGACGTGGCCATTCCTTTCATGAATACTTAGTAGTAGCGAGCATGTTACCATAGTTACATCGTTACTATGGTAACAAACTCGGCACTGTCTTTAGTCCGTATTTTATAAACCCAAAGATAATAACGCTTTTATAAAACGTGGACTAAAGATTGTTCGGTTTGTTGCCATGGTTACCATTCTTTTCCATGAAAAAATGGTAGTACCAAGTATGTTACCATGGTTACAATTAAATCGTTACTATGGTTAAACCAACTCGGTACTGTCTTTAGTCGGTGTTTTATAAAACGTCGACTGTTTGTTACCATGGTTACCTTCTATGAATACATCGTAACCATGGTAACAAAACACGGTCTATCTATAGTCCACGTCCATAACTGCGTTCCTTCTACAAGCAAATCCAAAATGATTTTTATATCGAAATTAAATGACCAAAATACATATTTTCATTAATGTTTACAGGGAATCAAACTTGGGGCTACAAACTGTGCTACCAAATGTTTGACAGCATAAGTGTCAAGGAGCTTAAAATATTATAGCAAAATTAATTTGTCAGTCTCTTGCGGCGATTTCGTATAAAGAAATATGGAATTAAAATATATAGCACAGCGATTTCCAAGGACACGCTTGACAAAAAAATCAATAACGACACAACCTTTTTAGGTCTAGGCCTCAGATTTCTGTATCTGTTTTATTATTTGTCAATCTAATACGCAAGTAGGTGATCAGCGTTTTGTGCCGGCTTCCTAATATTTTCCTTCACCGTTCGAGCGAATGTTAAATGCGCACATAGAAAGTCCAAGCCGGGGATCAAACCTACGACCTCGGAGAGTTGCACGCTGGACCAGCAAACACTGCTTGACCAAATTTACTAGACTATTATTAAAAATAGTTTTTAATTCATCCATATTTCTTATATATATAAACACAATTATATATTGCACATAACACGCATCACTGTCTTAAAGATATATATACATATTTACAATTAGCTAATGGCAGTGTGGTGTATGAAAAGTTTTTACTATGAGCTGTCAGGATTCGATTTCCGTCGCACTTGGTGTACGTTCAGCGTCTGCGTCTGCGGTTGGGTGATGAAATGGGTTGTTCCTGAAATTAATAATAGTAATTTATTTCGGAATCCTACAGCTAACAAAAAATATATATAAAAAACTAACTATTACGAGTGAGGTACTACAGCATCTCCCCCGTAAAGCCGTAGTTAAAATGACAACCTTAATTAATGCCTCATTTCGACTTCAATATGTTCCCAATATGTGGAAAGTTACGGAACTTATAATGATTCCCAAGACAGGAAAACCACCACACGAAGTAACGTCTTACAGGCTAATCTCACTGTTACCTGTTATAGCAAAACTATTTGAGAAACTCTTTCTCAAACGTCTTAACCCTATTATTTCCAAAAGCAGCTCATACCGGATTACCAATTCGGTTTCAGAGAAAAACATTCTACCATAGAGCAGGTTCATAGAATTACAAATAATATCGAAAAAGCACTAGAAGAACAAAAAGTCTGCTCCACGGTCTTTCTGGATGTAGCTCAGGCGTTTGACAAAGTGTGGCACCGAGGACTTGTTTATAAATTAAAGAAACTACTGCCTCGTCAATTTCCAAATGTCCTTGAGTCATATTTAACTCAAAGAATGTTTAGGGTACGACAAGAAGATGATTATATAGAACTGAAAGAAATAAAAACTGGGGTGCCGCAAGGGAGTGTATTAGGTCCGGCCCTGTACCTCTTATACTCATGCGATGTTCCTGTTAGTGCATGTTAGTATTAAGTGCTAAACAGTGAGTGAAAAAATAGAACACAAGAACATAGTGTCTTCCCTTTAATAGAGACTGTAAGTAGTGTTATTGGACACTTTCTTATGTAAAAATCCTTATTAGTAAACTAGGTTTAGACTTAAATTACTTATTAGTCTTAAGTTAGGCTTGAATGTAATGTTCCATGGTGTCTTAGTGAAGACACATGTCTAAAAAATAAAAAATAAACTATTATACTAAAGAAATAGCCAAAGATGGAATACATAATATATGCAAAAAGGTTCAAACATTTACGAAAGGAAAAGATCAATAAAAATTATTAAATTATTTGGCTAATTCGGCTGTGATGGTAAGAAAGTGAGGGTGTGTATGTGGGGTGAGCTCATGATGCAAGTGATTTAGCGCTATGGATATTCTTAATACTCCTTTTCACCATATCAGCTTAAATAAGTCAAGGCTAAGATATTGGTCGTCGTATGTCCGGAATTCCCTATAATATCATAATTTGAGAATGTATTTTCAATCAGAGAAATGCTTACACACATATACATATATATATATATACTAGCTGCCCCCGCGAACTTCGTTTCTTAATGTGATTTTACTTAGCCTACCTTTTTCTCTATATAAACCTCAGAGTTGAAGTCATACGATTTTAATTACAAATAAAAAAAGGGTGCGTGTACTTATGTACGCGCGAAAGAAGTTATACTTCTTTGGCATTATTAAAAAAGTTTTTGATTGCATGCAAATAATTAATTACAATTAAATAATCAAAGACTGGAAAAGGAGTCAATAAAGTTCAGTTTACATTTGAAAAATTAAATAAATAAATATTTATTATTATTCCCTTACATTAAGGGTAACATAAATTCTATTATTATTATTCGAATGTTGTTTTTAAATTATGTCCAATGCCGTAGCATCTTCCGTGGGAAACTTCATTCTGTTAATTTTGTGTCACGGTGCGCGCGCATCGTAAAATTTCACTCTCATCAACTTTTCATAACGCGCCTAAAGAAGTATAACTTCAAAAATAAGGGTTGGTGATAGAGGGGTGAAAATTTAGGCTTGTATGTTTTTTTTAATAAAACATTATTAAAAAAAAATTCGTCCAAAAAATAAAAAATAAAAAGTTAGGGGTGGACAACCCTTATCACTTAGGGGTATGAAAAATAGATAGTAGCCAATTCTCAGACCTACTGAATATGAATATAAAATTTGATAAAAATCGGTCAAGCCGTTTCGGAGGAGTATGTTTAACTTACATTATGATACGATAATTTTATATATAAGATTTTTTTATTGTGTACGATCTACGATGATTTTTTTACGATGTATGTCACTTCATTCCATAATTCGATTCCGTAATCATTTAACCACTTCTTTACCTGCGGGCTGTAAGGTGGGCCTCGTCACGGGTCGCGCAAGCCGGGCGCCTGGGCGTGCCCCTCGTACCACTTGAACTGTGCCACCTCTTACACCCGCTTTGACGCCTGACGCCATGAGCTGAGCTGGAATTATAGCACGTTTTTTAATTGTGAAATGCTCCTACAATCAAGAGACAATAGATTTAGTTATACAGAATGTATAAGGAAGAAAATTAGACTAGACTATATATACAAAAGAATAAACTATAGAGTAATAGGTTTCGGGCTGAGTGCGTTCGTTTCAATCACGTGCACCAATGGACTTTTCTATGTAAGTAAGACTCAGTCATATAGGGAAGGAAAATATCGCGAGAAAACGGCGTGGGTCAGGCACAGAAGGCCTAAACAAACATTACGGAACCGAAATCTGAACTCAAGTAAAAGTTGTAGCAAAGTTGTGGCAATGGTATTTATTTGTATGTATTATAATATGGCGAACGTACGCACAACGTACGAACACGAGAATGGTATTACTTTTTTGTTTTAAGACCTTTGAAACAATACGTTTTCATGACCAAACATACAAAATTTGTAGGTTTGTTTCTAGCAGATTTAAAAAGCGTTATAGCCTGTCACTAAAACTTAGAATTTAGTGTCATATAACGGCATTTTATTACATAACTATAAATTTTCAAACAAAAAAAAGTGCGTGCGTACAAAGAACACATGTCAGAAGTGAAACTTCTTTGTAAATTAATTATTACTAAGGTAAAAGCCCCAATGATCATGCACCAGTATATGATCACTCCATGTATTTGTACATCTATATTCACACTGTTTACACACTGTATACGTGCTGATGATAATAAAAATAAATAAAAAATCTGTGTTTCTGCACAAGACGTTATGCGACAGAATTGCCATCTAAAGTTCTAATATGTAACTACTAAAGGAATACATCAACCAATAGCTTGTATTTTTTCTCGATCTCCCTTACTCTCTCTCTCTCTCAATCTTTCTCACTATAGCTCTCCACCTCTCGCTCCATGACACTGCGTGATGCGACGTTCGCTCTATCTCACTCTCTCTCTCTATCTTTCTTACTTGCTTGCTCCCTACTATCGTTCCATTGCTTCATGCTACGTTCGCCCTTTCTTACTCTCTCTCAATCGGTATTTCCCTTTTCTTCGACAAAAACGCTGCACATCTTCGTGACCCTCATGCGCCTAGCGAAGTTTCATTTTAAAAATATTATCTTCACACAATTATTAAGGCGAATATACTTACCTATAGGCAAACTTAGCACCGAGGGTTGATTAGCCAGTACCACTGACGTCGTTGGTGGGACCGAAACCAGTAACCCACTGGAAGCACCGGACACGTTCAGCGAGAGGGAGATGGGCGCTGACAGACCTGGGATCTGGACTTGAACGTTCTGCACGCCCTGGAGCCCTGCCAGACCTGGCAGACTTTGTAAAGTCTGGAGGGACGCAAGACTTACGCCCTGAAATAATAAAAAATATATTTAAAAAAAAGCATGAAATAACAGAAGAAGATTCGACCGGGCGAAAGCATCTTAATAAATAAAAATGTGTTTATTGATTTGACAACAATTCATTACAATGTGCAAGATTTGGGAACGCTTTTAAGTAAAAAATACCTGTGTGGGTATGTCCCAGCTCTTCCATAATTAACTTAATAGTAAATACTAAACTTTTATTTGATAGGATTTTCTCTAGTCTAAGAAAACTGTTAAATACACTTTTTATCAATCTTCCAACATTGTTTTTAGTGTTAAGGTTTTATTTCTGTATTAAATAAGTTGTCTTTACTGGTGTAATGTTCGTATACGTGTAAATACTAGGCGCTACCAGTATTACACGTATTAACGTACGTACACGAAAAGTACGACATTTAACAGTAAGATTTAAAAATTTACAAAATTCCTAACTATTTCCTTCCTAAAACTTTCGTAAGTTCATTCAACGGACAATTAAAAGTGTTACCGTGTTCTGCCTTAGGCGATTGCTGGTGGCACCGTGGGGTTCTAGTAGATATGCACAGAAGCGAATCCCACGAATCCCTCCCCCACAAGGCTGTCGTGGTACGCTAACGTATGCATTTCCCCACGAAAAAATCTACTAAGCTTGTGGCGGAATTTAGATTGGTATATATATGTTTTTAATGTGTTGTTGTGTTGTGTGTGTGTGTGCAACTACTTAAAACTGAATTTTGATTTAAATGATTATTACACATGTAAGCTAATAAATATTTATCTTTTTTATAAAAAAAACCGTCTAATTATATTTTAAACTGAAGTATCTATCTCTTTTCATCACAGCGTAAACACAACTTGACAGAGTGAGACGAAGGATTACTGTCGAATTCTCGTACCTGCAAATGACAAACGGGTTGCGCAGTCTGCTGGGGCTGCTGGGGCGTGTGAGTCTGCGAGTCTTCTCCCATCAGCCTCTCCAATAACGCGCTCTCGCTACTCGACACGTTCGTCGACTCACTGTCGCGTGTATATCCGCTCATTACCTGAAATTACATTCAAAATTATATTAATTTGTAGGTAACATTGCTACTTTTTGAAGTTATACTTCTTTAGGCGCGTTATGAAAAATTTATGAGAGTGAAATTTTACGATGCGCGCGCACCTGAGACACAAAGTTGTCAGTGTGATTATAGCGTGCGCGAGCGAGATGGGAATAAGACAATCTACAAGTAAAAAAAAATAGAATATGCGTGACGTTAGCAGCTTTGCCAAGAATTTTGAATGACCATAATGACATTTGTAGTACCTTTTAAACAAATAAAGGAGTTTTAATTATTTTTTCAAAGAAATTTAGGAATGCTTTTTCACAAAGACCTATTGTTACTTAGTTAAAAGGTTATGAAACATACCTAGTTATTAAATAGAATGAATAATATAATAAAATAATAAATAATAATAATAATTATTATTAATATTAATTAATACTTGAATAATATACTAAATATTGAATAATATTAAATTATTAACGTTAAATAGTTACTATTAATTATTTAATATTTAAAAAAAATAAAGAAAGCCAAAGAAGTATAACTTCTTACGTGCGTACATAAGTACACGCACCCTTTTTTTTAAATTAAATATTTTATATTTCGATGACAGATAAAAGAGTCTGTTTAGAGACTTTCGAAAACTTTTTTTCAGAAGTTTCTGAAAAGATATTTTTTTTGTTTTCTAATATGTTTTCCTTCACCGTACGAACGAGTGCCACATGCGCACGTAAAAAGTCCAAAAGAATAAGTGTCGTGCGCCGATACCACTAAGCTAACTCTACTCTTCAGCCAGATAAAATAGCACATAGCAAGGATAGACAAATAATAACAGAATAAATCAAAAATATAATAACAATAAAGTTAGTTCGATACAATTAGCCAATATTTACGATAAAAAAATGGGGATTTGACATACCAGATATATTTTTGTGTGTTTGTTTTTTATATTTTTTTGTATTATTCATACTAGGAGCTCGACTCTAAATTTTACCCTTAGGACTCACTCGCATATGTTGAAATAATTATATATTTATAAATAAAAATGAATCGCAAAATAAGTGCAAAACTCGAAGACGGCTGGATAAATTTGGGTAAATTTTTATTTAAAGCCTAAAAACCAGTTTTTTTAACAGAAAAGCGAATAGTCTATACGTGGTAGCATAGCAAAATATACTATATGTAGCTACAAAAAAGGTTTGCCTAACAAATCATATAACAGCAGCGAGGCTGATAGACAAAAATTTCCATACCCTCACCTGATGCGAGTACGTCGGCAGCGTATGCGCGGTCGTAGAAGTGGCTATCAGTCTTCCACCCGCAATGGACACTGTTCGTGTTAACAGCTTGTGCTCAAGGGAGTTATCGGCCGATGACGTCACATGTGTCATGGCCGCCGGAGCGCTGTTCAGCAGATTCAGTATCGTTGCGTTACTACTTGCTGTGCTTGCCACCGATTTTGCAGCGTTTTGATTTGCAGCTAGAAAATTTACAGAACAATATATTATATCTATAATAAATTATATTGCCCCGAATTTCTCGTCACACTGAGCTATTCATATTCGTACAAACTATCCTTAGCTGCTATTGTAAATCTATATAATCTAAGGAGTATGCCTGTCTCGTTCTAAACTCGTTCTAAGGAAATAAGCAAATTGAATACCATAGTGCACATTCCCCCAACTCACTTCAACCGGCAAATTATTGGTCCTTCGTCGTAAATATTTATACTGCATTAAATTACCAATATTACATTATATTATTAATTTGGTACCGTGTTCGTTACCATGTTTACAAATGTCGCTAGTACGGAAATCAATGAATAAGATATTCATTCATTTTTTTTTCTCTCTCAAAAAAAAAACAGAAGGCTTTCTGAGCATTCATTTACATAGATATTAATAAAACTTGAGTGTGACTCGCATAAGTCAAAATCGTTTTAGATTTCTAGCTGCTGTGGTCTCTGGCAGAATGACCAGCGCTGTGGAACCTCAATAGGGCCAATTACAACCACAGCACATACACATTACGCACTTAAAACGTACCTTTTTCTTTAAAAGAAAACATAATTGTTATCTCTCACTCTTTTTTATTTGATTATTGTTATTTTGTGTGTGTGTGTGTTTTGTTAGTAATAAATGTTATGTCTATGTCTAACATGTTATGTCCAGATTTTGACACACGTGACTTATAGTTCGAGCCAAACCTCGTTCTAAATCTTTTTATGTATACATTCACTTCTTTTACCCGATAGGATACCACGATACCACGGATCTCCACACACAGTCCTGATATACCTTTCTCACTTTATCCACTTCCATTGACATTCACCATGCACGCTCGTCAGTTGTGCGTACTTTTGACCTGTTCCTTCTCTAGTACGTACTAGGGATGCTCGAACATCGATAATCATCGATGTTAACTCACGGCCTCCCGCACGACCAATGCAACTTACGAAACAAATCATGTCTTTTATGAACGCATCCACAAATCAGGTTTATTACAATTTTGAACGCGTGTTCATTAATTGCGTCCAGGTCGTTCCCTTTTTTTTTTTGGTGGGCCCCCCCCCCCTTTTTTTTCTAAATTTCCCCCCCCCTTTAAAAAAAAAAAAAATTTTTAAAAGCTCCTCCTTTACAAAAAATACTATTCAGTCTGTTGACAAAATATCGGAATATGTAATAATTCGTTCTTAATAAATTTCATTTCAAAGTTAAAAATCATCGATGTTCGATATTTATCGAAAACCGAACATCGATTTTGGGCTTTCGATTATGACGTCGATGTCAATATCGATGTTTATCTAACATCGATCATCCCTAGTACGTACGGCCTACTCAACCCGACCTTACCAACCAACCTTTTTTTTTGTTTTGGTTGCCTTGAAGAACCAACTTTTAAGCCGCTTCTCTCCTTTCTACATGGCTAAGCACTCTCTTTCTTGTCCTTGCCACTACATCCTCTTTTAACCCACACTGCTCACGTATTACTTATCCTATATCTTTGAAATTATTGTATACCTTGTTGGAACTGCTGGGCGGAGTTCATAAGACTCGTGACTAGAGCATTGATGGCTGGATTCGTGGACCTGGGCTTTGTGACAGTTGCTTTTTGTTGAGCCGTTGTGGCAGTTGTGTACTGTATTGTTTGCACCTGAAAGAGGGAGATTACGTTAAGATCGATATTTTATCGACTACATAGTATTCGATTATTAATCTATACTCCGATTTTTAATTCCGTAGAATTCTGACATTTTATAAAACTAAAAAAATTCACCGAAAAAGGGACAAATTTGACCCATTTGAGGGCAATAAACAATAAAATGCTACGTATTATTTATGTTTTACCTAGAAAACGAAATATTTACTTAAGTGATCTAATACAAAAATAACAAATATTTCAATATTACGAACAATATATTGAATTAATTTTAATTACTTTATTTTATTCTTTAGCTGGCATCATTGCCTACCACTCCAGGTTTAGTAAACCTTTAAAAAAAACCACATCTTTACTTGTGCGTTTTTTACTGTTTGTGATGAAAAGGGACGTAATTATCACTCGCCGTAAAACCACTTTTAATGTGGAGCACCGCACTTAATAAAATAGATACATTCACTAACAAATAAAATGTATGTACAGACTCAGATGTTCAGACTCGTATTGAAATTGAAAAATGTGCCCGGCCAAAAAGGTTTGCAATCTCTGACATGTCACAATTCTACGGAATTCAAAATCAGTGTATAGGTAGAACGTAATTATTAGTATTACATCCGCTAATCGTCAAAGATAGATCTTGTTAATTCAATGTGTTAATTAAATACCTGTGATGTTCCAGTGGTAGACATCAAAGGATGCTGTATGTGGATAATGGCGGACTGCATCTTCTGTGGGTTGAGAGGTTGAGGCGGATTCGTTAATTGCTGAGCCAGCAACTGGTTAGTTGACGCCTGTGTTGAATGAATGTCATGGACCTGAAATATTGCAATTAATTTTTAAATATTTGGATTTACTTGTAACTAAAACAAAATAATTAAAAGATATACAATTTATCATACCATATACATAAGTGGTGGGCTTGCTGCCTGCGTTACATATTGGGCACAAACTCGAATTTTCAAGCCTTGAGAAACTAATGAAAGAAGATAACGAAAAAGCGCGGGAAATCCAAAAATGTTTAGTATGGTATCCCTAAAAGTTTGATATATTTCGTGGATTAAACTTACTTGATTACTTGATTTTGTTTTATTTTTTACAGTGATAGTAACTGTATTTCTATGAAATTAAATACTATACGTATTTAGTCTTTTACTATTGAGTACTTAAAATGACTAGATTGACTAGAAAACTGAAACTATATTTATTATAAAACACAACTTTATTCGGAATAATCAAAATCCTGCGAAAGAAACGAAATATTCTATCAAAAAAAACAGTTTAGGCTATTATACCTGTTAACTATTCGGAAAAAATATATGATAGAAATAAAAATGACTAATTGCATGAAGTATCAAGACAATAAATCATACATTCTGTGTTGCCATCCGAAAGTTTTCAAATAATTCAATTATCTTCTTTCATTAGCCAGTCTCTAGCAAATGTTAAATACGATTGCGCACACTTTAGTCAAGGCTGCAAGCACGGGTATATCTGATGAATGGTAATTGTGATTTCTATACTCACTTGCGGCGACAATCTCGGCGTAGGAGATGGCTGTTGCTTGAGCGCCGTTTCAACTGCCACCCCAGCCACTGGCGGTACACTGGCAACCGCCGGCACAGTCGTCACGTTACCCACGTTGCCAACCACAGTGGCAACATTACCCACGGTACCAACGACGGTGCCAACACTTCCAACAGTGCCAACGACAGTGCCGACTGCGCCAACGTTGCCAACGTTACCAACAGTCCCGACAACTGTGCCAACAGTGGCGACGTTTCCAACATTGCCAACTGCAGCGACTTGCTGAAGTTGCGCCTGCTAGTTAAGTAAGTCAAGATTTTTGGACGGAACAACTATACTCGATGCATTATGGACTGAGGCTTCGGGTGATAAATCATATTTATCTGTCCGTCTCGCTCGCACTTACTTATGGAGAGGTGTAGTGATGTGCGAAATAATTGTAGAGGTGCACATCGATAGGTACGATCGATATGCTAAATTATGTTAAGTATTAATAGTAATAAAATTTTCGATATTTGAAAATTTGTTTTTAAATTGTAAGATTACCATTTAATTTCTTAAAACCACGTTAGAAAATTAATTAAAAGAAAATAGAAAAATAAAAAGCAATGTAATGTGTGTCATAAAAAGATCTTGTATTTATAGAAAAACAACAACCCTTACAGCCCGTTCCCACTAGTCGTAAGTCGCATAAGACTAAAAGTCGAAAGTCTGATGTCCCTGTTCACACTGCGTCGCGAGTCGTATAGATCGTAGTTTCGCGCCATTCGGTACGTAGCGAATTCGCGACATGGACGCCGACGAAGAACTTGTTGTGCTCTACTACTTACGAAGAAAATTAAAAAAATTCAATTCCAAGAAAATACTGGATGCACCCAATCCTAACAGAAAGATCGACTTTGGGAAGTCAAACAAAAAAACACGAATGGAGTGAGCAAGCAATGTGTAGGAATGTGTGTCTAGGAAGCGGGGCGGGGAGGGAGGTAACAACAACAATTTTCTTTTGTGATGAAATAGGTTCAGGCTTTGGAAAAATCCTACATAATTACCTTAGCCATAGTTTTACCAATCATAGTTACCATAACATAAGTTTTAAACAAATAATTAAACAAATTAAAAATTCAAACCTGGACAATTATTCTGCCTTAGTTTTATTACTAGGTAACAGCATTGGTATTACCAAAAAGGACATAGTGGATGGTGTCAGCACCTTATTAAAATTAAACATAGGAAAGCTGATGTTATGTGCTTTTCCCTACTCTGATACTCTGTCAGAGGTTGAAAATAATCATATTTTTAAATTGAATAATACTATTCACATGTTGACATGTCGTCATAGTGACAAATTATTATATTTTGACACTAATAAGTTTATTAGTGGTTCTAAGTTAACTCAGAGAACTTTATCTCTGTCTTTTGAATGTAGACGGTTGATTGCTATGTTAATAGCATACAATATTAACAAGGTTATAGCTAATATAACAAATTCTAGGATTAGTGACGAGACTGTGTTGCCTAGTTACACTAACAACACAGTGATTGATAATATATCTTTATGTTGTACGAAGGAGGGTCCACCTATAATACCAACATACTTGGAGGCCAATACCAGTCAGATAGAGTATACTCTTCCTGCTGGAACACATACCTTAGGTTATTCTACAACTGTAGAGGTCACTCCGGATAGTACTTTAAACTAGGCTGTAAGACAACAGAAGTTAACCGTTTAAATAATCAATTATTATTTGTGGATAATAAAAAGGTATCTTCTGGCAATTTAACATGTTTTAATAAACCAAAAGGAAAGCAACATACTTTAAGATTATTTCATCAGAATATTCAAGGTTGCTCTTCCAAATTACTGGAAATAGAAATGTTTTTAGAAAAAACCAAGTTCGATATTATTTGTTTAACTGAACATTGGTTAGATGATCATCAGATAATGTCTATTAATTATGAAAATTATTGTGTAGTTAGCTATTTCAGCCGGAAGTGTATGATACACGGTGGATCATTAATATTAATCAAAAATTCTGTTAAATCTAAAGAAAGGAAAGACATTATCAGATTGTCAGTTGAACATTCTATAGAGTTGTCCTGTGTCGAGCTCGATAGGCATGTTGTAGTATGTGTTTACAGACCTCCGGGCTATCAGAATCTATCTGTATTTGATTCTGTAATGGAAGATGTGTTAAAAAAACTTAGTACTAGTAGTAAATCAATCATCATAAGTGGTGATTTTAATATTAACTTATTAGAAACAAACTCAAATAGTATCAGATTAATAAGTCTTTTTAAATCATTTAATCTGTCTAATGTTTTTATGGAACCAACTAGAGTGACAGCTTCTTCTGCCACTTGTATAGATAATATTTTTTGTAATTGTGATTACTTACATAAAGAAATTGTTAATAAATTGCCTTCTGATCACAGTGGACAAACAATAACGTTTTGTGCCTACATACCTGTACAAAAAATTCAAATAAGGTATAGGCCAATTACATGTAAAAATTTAGAGAAATTAAATAATACCTTGACCAGTAAATTGTGTGTTCAAAACTTTAATAATATTTGGGACCCTAATGAGTTCTATGCGGAGTTTTTTACCTTGTTAAAATCGCAATTTAATGACATTGTTCCACAAAAGGCAAAAAGTATTTACACCAAGTTCTTATTTAGTGATTGGGCGACTCCAGGTATTCGTAAGAGCAGGGATAAACTTTTTGAACTATATGGCCTAAGGCAACATGTAAAAAATACAAACTTTCATCAGCATGTTGCGAAATATTCAAAAACTTTTAAAAGTGTGTGCAAAATTGCTAAATCACTGTATATTAGTAATAAAATAAAATCAGCGGATGACAAAATAAAAACTACCTGGCAAATAATAAATAATGAAACTGGTAGAAAAAAACAGCGTAATACTGAATTTAACTTAGAGACTGCACATGGCCCAATAAACTCAAATGCAGAAATAGCTCAGGAATTTGAAAACTTTTTTATCAATATTCCCTTTAAAACTACCGAAGCTTTAAGTTCATCATCCGCACTTTCTTTTGCGTTACTTACGAAGAATGTAAGGGCATGCCCTACGGAGTTTCGATTTCAATATACAAACCCCCAGGCTGTTATGAAAGCTTTTAAAGATCTTAAAATTAAATCTACAGAAGATCTTTGGGGATTGTCTGTAAAAGTCTGTAGTTCTATCATCGAAACTATTGCGCCTTATTTAGCTTTCATATTTAACACCAGCATAGACCAAGGAGTCTTTCCGGATCTCATGAAACACAGTAAAGTAGTTCCGTTGTTCAAATCCGGTGATAGTAAAGAACCCAATAATTATAGACCTGTGTCAATTCTGCCAGCTCTCAGTAAGGTTTTTGAAAAGTTAATGCTCAATCAAATGTTATGTCACTTTAATAAAAACTCCATCTTTCATGAACAACAGTACGGTTTCACCAAAGGGCGTTGTACAACTGACGCCGGTGTCTCCCTAATCAAGAACATTTTTAACGCTTGGGAGGAAGCACAAGATGCCATTGGAATCTTTTGTGACCTTTCGAAGGCGTTCGATTGCGTAAACCATGAGACTCTTCTGCTGAAACTTAATCACTACGGGATTAAGAACAAAGCTCTGGACTTACTAAGATCTTACTTGAAAAACAGACAGGTTAAAGTTCAGGTTAACGGCATAAACTCGTTAGGGTCTGAAATTACAATGGGCGTTCCTCAGGGTTCAATATTGGGTCCATTCCTCTTTTAGTATACATAAATGATTTACCCCAATTAGTTCAGAATAAACCGAAGATGGTGTTATTTGCAGATGACACATCATTGATTTTTAAAGTAGATCGACGGTCACAAAATCGTGACGACGTGAATAACTCTATTCTTCGGGTCCAAAATTGGTTTACGGTAAACAATTTGGCACTGAATGATAAAAAACTAAATGTATTAGATTTACGTTGCCAAATGTTAAAAGTAAGGAATGTGACATAATGTTGAATGAAGGAAAACTGGAATTTATTAATCAAACGGTTTTCCTAGGCATCACGCTAGACGAGAAGTTACAATGGGGACCTCATATCACATCTCTTGCGGGGCGGCTGAGCTCAGCCGTTTATGCGGTTAGAAAGATAAGATATTTAACCAATGTAGAAACTGCGCGTTTGGTCTATTTTAGCTACTTTCACAGCATAATGTCTTACGGCATTTTACTGTGGGGTCGGGCTGCTGACATAGAATCCATTTTTATTTTGCAAAAGAGAGCGGTCAGAGCCATTTATAATCTACGTCGTTGCGAATCTCTCAGGGAACTATTTAAAAAGATTAATATTATGACAGTACCTTGCCAATTCATTTATGAAAATATTATGTATGTAAGAAAGAATCTACATCTTTTTAGTAAAATAAATGAAAGACATAATTTTAGTACTAGAAATAAAGATAAAATAGCTCAACCATCTTTCAGATTAGCCAAAGTTCAAAATTCATTTATGGGGTACTGTGTGAAATGTTACAATAAAATACCTTGTGACATTTTAAAACTAAATGAACGAAAATTTAAATGTTTTATTAAAAGTACACTTTGTAAACAAGCATATTACAAATTAGATGATTATATTCAAGATAAGAATGCTTGGAAACATGCTGGTCCTGCTCCATAGGACAATCCTATGATTGGCTCTATAGCCTGGACAAAATCAAATTGGTTGCTGATTTTTTGCTAAAAAAAAATATGTTAATTTTTGTTATTATTATTATTATTTATTTTTTTTTAATTTATATAATGCTACAAATGTAATTATTTTTTTTTGTATCTCACACACTGTTTTGTTGTGTTTTTTTAATATTTTTATTACTCTTTAATGTTAATATTCTAAGGTTTCGATATTTGTAAATATGTGAGGAACATGTATACTAACTTTTTTAGTATAGTAGTTTATTCTAAGAGTACATTGTCTTCACATATAATTATTTAACAAATGTAACAAAATATTGTAAACCTATTTTAAAAGAGTAAGTGTGGAGTTTCTTGCCCATTCTTCTCCACACGAAACTACCTTTTGGAAGGGGCAACTAGAATCATCTTTATATTTTTTTTTTGACGTTCAAAAGTGCCATTTTAGATGGTCTAATTGAAATAAACGATTTGACTTTGACTTTGACTTTGAACGCGCTCGAGTCGTAAAGACGCACGACTAGTGTGAACAGCAACAAGCAGGCACCTATGCGAGCATGATTCGACGCGACTTTTAGTCTTAAGACGGGCGCTGGCCCGTCGGATGGTTTTTTGAGTCGTATTCGACTAAAAGTCGCGTCTCATCTAATGTGAACAGCTCCATACAAAGTGTATGGTGACCAGAGCATTCGACTTTTAGTCTTATGCGACTTTCGACTAGTGGGAACGGGCTGTTACTCGAGTCAGAGTGCATGCGCAGCTTAGTATCATAACGGGTTGCATTGCGTGCACATTCCTACCGTCAGTGACATTTATTGCCCGACGGCTCAGTTTCAAATGCGTCAACTATAGTTTGTGTATATTATACATTATATTATATTACACTATGTGGTTAACATGTCAACAGTTTTAATGAAGTAGATAGAATTTCAATACGATAACACTTTATTCAAATTTTAAGAAAAAAAAATTGTGGGTGTACTAGTGTACGCACGTAAGAAGTAAAACTTCTTTATGACCTTATTTTTCGAAAAATGATCTACTATATGCAACTTTACAGAAATTGGTTAAATAAAGTGAAATTAGATAAAATTTCAGTAAAGGCTTTTATTATCATAGACATGAATTCAAATAATGCAATTATTACATTTTACATAAGGTAACTACTAAGATTATTACAGAATGTCATTAATTGCATTTACTTAAGTAATCCGACTAATTTCAAGGTTTTCTCGCGAGATTTGCCATTCAACCTGCGATCGATCAAGCAATTTTTAGTTGGTATTTAAAAAAAGCAACATGACGCGTAACCGAAAAACGTGACGATTTTTTACATTGCTACAAAATTTCTCCCATACATCGATAAAGAAATTTCACTTCAATTAAGAATTATCAATTACCTTAATAAATGCAAAATCTGATCAGATTAAAATAAAAACATATTAGAAAATACATTTGCAAATAAATATTTCAACTTACCAATATCGGTAGTTGTCTGGCATTCGGGTGAACGGCTGGCGTTGATATTGCCGATGTCCTAAAAAAATATACATCTAATAACAATAAATTGGGAGATTTTTTTTACAAAGACAATTCACACCAATTGACCTAGTCTCATGCTAAGCTGGTGAAGCTTGTGTTATGGGTAATATGCAACGGATATACATACATATTATAGATAGATAGACACATAAATACATATTTAAACACCCAAGACCTAAGCACAACACCAAATGCTCATCACATCGATGTTCGTCTCAGCCGGGGATCGAACCCGGGACCCATGGATTCGCAGTCAGGGGTACTAACCACTAGACCAATGTTCTGAATAGTTTAATAACTTTTATTTACGGTATTACCTTAAGAGTTGGAAACCCTGACATGGAATTTTTACTTAAGAGGGTTCCCAAATCTTACACATTATACTATACATTTTATTTTTTTTAATACCTAAAGTTTTACGAATTCACAGAATAAAAGACAGATATTTTGTTTCAGAAATTGATTCAATAGATTAATTTTTAATAATTTTTACGACGTACACAGAATACGTACACGTCCCACGTACACGCACCACCTTAAAACAAAAGAAGTGTTAAAATAACTTCCATCCCAAATTAGTCTAGTCTACTTACACAACAGGAACTGTAGTGGCATGTGTTTGTACTGTGGCGTTACTCGCTGCCGCAGACCGCTGCTGGAGCAGCAACTGTTGCTGTCCTTGTTGCTGTAATTCACACATAAAGTATAATTTAATTAAAGAATTCAACGCATCATATAGATCTCTTATAGGCAATCCGAAAGGCTGCTTTTTTAATCCGAAAGGCTGTACTGTTCCTCCAACCTAAAGGGAGGTCCTGGCCCAGTCTGACCACTGACTGGCTGGGAAGTTCCAGTCCCATCAGGTCAATTTTCAGTATTAGGGAGCGGTACATTTAGTATCTAATTATCGTTACGAATTTTGGTTGCCTCTCCTCCAAAACGGTCGCCTTTGTGAAATTGGGGCGGGGATTGAATTACGCGTTATTTTTCCTAAATATTAGGTAGTCTTACTAGATACTTTTTATTTCTACAACTTTTTCGTATTTTTATTTTTTGTCACGACAACGTTTTTTACTATACTTGGGTACAGAATAACGTTAAACGGCGAACGTTACGTTGGGGTGTCAAGTTAACTGTGAGTAATAGTCTGAACGCTCCCGTAGAATTCTGACATTTCATAAGTGTTGCTACTAAATATGTTCTCCACTGAAAAAGGGACATATTTGCCCCATTTGAGAGCAATAAAATATAAAATGTTGAACCTACAAAAAGGTAAATCTAAATAGTTACTTACTCAAGTGACCTAATAAAAAAATAACAAATATTTCACTATCACGAACAATATATCGAATTAACTTTAATTACTTTATTTTATTCTTTAGCTGGCATCATTGTCTACTAATTCCAGGTTTAGTAAACCTTTTTAAAAAAATAAAATGTTATCTTTACTTGTGCATTTTTTACTGTTTGTGATGAAAAGGGATTATCACTCGCCGTAAAACCTCAATTAATGTGAGCACCGCACTTACACATACTAACAAATAAAATGAATGTATAGACTCAGATATTCAGACTCGTATCGAAATTGAAAAATGTGCCCGGCCAAAAAGGTTTGCAATCTCTGACATGTCAAAAAATGATAGCTGTCAGAATTCTACGGAATTAAAAATCAGAGTAAGGGGCCCTAAGCCTAGCGGTCTTATTAAGTGGCAGCTAGGTGAGGGGTACCGGGATCGATTCCCGGTTCGAGGGCACGTTTTAATTTAATTTAAATTTGTTCTCGGCCTTTGGGAGGGTTGTGCGGTACATTGGTACATTGAGGAACACGGTCGAATTTCTAAAGACAAGCACGAATTGTAAAAAAATCCTATATACTTGACGCTGGCTAATGCACAAATCGTGCCAGAGCCACAATTAAAAAAAAAAAGATCAGAGTATCGATGACTTTTAAAAACTTACAATTTCCCTCATGCCACCCGTGAATGAAACTCTCGGCAGCTGTCCAGGTACAATGTGTTTTATTCTCACAGATTTACGCCCTTCTTCGGTAAATATCTCCGTGAACTGTTGTATATACTTGTTTGCTTGGAGACGTGATCCTGAAATTTACAAAAACATAAACAATTACCCTCTTACCGATTCCCCTTTGACTCTTATAGAATCACCAACCTGACTCTAAAAAAATAATAACTTACTAAAAAACTAATCTCACGGATTCATGAATTGCGATGCAATAAATAAGAATAAGAAATAAAAAATATACAAAAATCACAAGTTGTTTTGATCGACGACGAAAATCTTCTAGTTTATGTATCCACGAAAAAAAAAACTAAATAAACCTGTGGTATAATAATAGTAGTGGTAGTGGTATAATATGCTAATATTAATGAAAAACCATAGGAACCACTATCACTTCTATATCGTGAGCACACTAAAGTATTTTTTATCATCCAAAGTTTTTTACCAATTCTTAAAAGGCCGGCAACGCACTTGCGAGCCTTCGACTGTCCATGGGCGGTATCACTTAACATCAGGTGAGCCTCCTGCCCGTTTGCCTCCTATTACAGTGTAAACTCTATATAACGAATTTCCAGGGACCGAGCATTTTTATTCGTTATAGGGAGGGAAGTAATAATGTATGGGTATTGAGTTACAACAAATAAATTTAATTTATTTTTACGTTATAGAAAGTTTTTTAATAAGAATTGACGTTATAAAGAGATTACACTGTACATAAAAAAGTTAAAGATTTTTCATACCTAGCGTAAACCGACACGCCGCACCATTCTTCTCCCCCTCCACATGATCTCTATCAACATAGAGCTCCCCAAGGAACTCCTGGTCTGATGGCCTCTGCAGTATACTGAGTTTTATATGGAAAAATCCAGCGCCAGCGTGCGGTGACGTCTTTTCAGTTTCCAATATATATTCTTCAACTAATTGGGGTTGGCAATCAGGTGTTGGGCGTGGTCGTTCGTACGCTCTCGCAACGCGAAGCGGCCCGCTCGGCTCTGATGGCAGGGCGAGAGGTAATGGCTCCATTTTTGGTGGCTCAATTGGTTTGAACACCTGAAATTGTACATCATACACACTTATACAAGATATTTTCGTAATTTTCTTATGTTTTTGAAGTAAAACTTCTTTATCGGCGTTGGAAAAAAAATTACCGTCACATTTTTCGGTTACGCGCCATCTTTTTCTTGTCCCTACCACGGTTGATTCGAAGAGCTTCGAAGCCATTAATAACAAAAAATATATAATAACGACAACAATGATAGTAATAATTCTATTACAATTAATGAAATTCTGTAATAATCTTAGTAGTAATAAGGTAAAATAAAATAATTGTATTTGTTTTCATATCTATGATAATAAAAGTCTTTTGTTAAACTTTATCTATATTAACTTTATTTAACCAATTTCTGTAAAGTTGCATATAGTAGATCATTTTTCGAAAAATAAGGTCATAAAGAAGTTTCACTTCTTACGTGTGTGTACCTAGTACACGCACACATTTTTTTATGGGGGCAAACGGGCAGGAGGCTCATCTGATGTCAGTATTTCTGCCGCCCATGGACAGTCACATTGGCTTGTAAGTTGCCTTTTAAATTGGTCCGTTACCTTGAAGGACACTAATAGGCCAGTCATAACATTCGAATCGAAAATTTGATAATAATTAAAAGTCTTCAACTTCGGTCAGTGAATGGTAATTGGGACGACAATAAATCTCATTTTGCAACCTTGTCCGCAGTCCGGAACATTGTTAAAATTGCAATTAAATTAATTTTTGCTGTATGGTCGTGAAAAAAATTCCAAAAGTTCTGCAAACTTGGGGAAGTTTTTCACTGTTGACATTTTGTGTTATTAAAAATTAATGTTTTTCTTTATTAAACTGAAGGAAAACGTTCCAAAAGTTCTGCAAATTTGACAGATATATCGAAAATAAAAATAATAGGTTGGTTGCAAATTTTATACGTGATATGAAATATTATATCGAAAACTTCCCCAAGTTTGAGAACTTTGGAATTTTTTTCAGACCAAAACTTATTTTTAAAATTTCGACGCAGAGAGGTTGAAAATTTTATAGTTTGTTTTAATAACTCCACCTTACATCAAAATTTGAAAACTTTTGGAATTATTATGAATTAATTGTTTATGACTGGAGTCGAAATGGTTCGGAAATACTTCATTTCACATATAAACGATAAACGCAACTGATTAACATATATATGTTAAATATATTGAAATAGCATGAATTGTGTGACGATATAATAAACTGTTAGAACTACCAAAAAATTAATTATTTATTAGCGAAAATATTGAATTTTAATAAAAAACGTATGGCACTTGGGGACTGCCGCGGTAAAGATATTACATAGCATTTTTTATCAACTTATGCAATTATGATTATTTATTTATTTTTTCTTTGATATTAATTCAATTTACCACTGTACCAGACTCAGACTAACACGCCTATATAGTTTGTCTCACTCTAACGCGTACCGGCTGCACCGGCCGCGCTTACGCTACGTCACCGATCTCGTCAGAGAGATGTGAATACGCAGTACGCAGTATGCGTTCTGTCCCGCTCTAACGCGTATTGGTCGCCTATATTACGTCATTGTGTGTTAGGTTTATTTTCGTTACGGAATTTCTTGATTCGGTCGCCGCGCTCAAAGCCTGCGACCAGCAATAACTTAAATAAAATCTATACAATAGCTTAAAAAATACCAGCGTATTAAGACATCTTTTCAGTCTCAACTATTTAAATAAGTTTTAGCTAGAACAAATGTAAGTTTAAAGTACCTCTGGTGGCTTCTTAGGAAATTTAGAAGTGAGCCTAGTATGGGGAACGGATTGTCTACTATTCTTTGCCCTTTGTCTATGTATGAGTTCCAGAAGTTCCAAGCCATGATAGTGTGTGAACTGGTCCAATTTCCTCTTCCTATTTACAGCAACCTAGAAATCAAAAAAATGTTAAAATCAGTGTTACTACACTCTTATGGTTCATCTCTTCTTAATAAATTTCATTTGTTTGAAGAAGAGATACAAAGCATAATTTATAAATTATAAGACTTAGTACGAAATGCAGAAACGCGATTTACTCTTGTGTCGAAATCCAATACATTTTTAAGGTATGTATTTATAAAATCATTGCTTTTTACACACCCTGTACATGAAACTTCTAGCCTTCTCATTAGGTAAGAATAGGAGATATAATATATATATATATATATAGTCATTATTAATATTGAAGAAAGGAATTATCATAATTTTGTTGCATTGTAATATATAATATTAACACAATATAATAAATTCGACATTGTAATTAGAGTACAGGTATTATTGAGAAAGATTCTCCATTAAAAAAAAATATTTCTCTGGAATTTGAAACTTTTACTTCATTTAAAGTTAAAGTTTCGTCTACATTGTAAAATTAATCTATTCAAAGAAATACCTGAGAAAACCGCCTCGCTTGCCGCCTTACTCTTGGCGTATTGAATAATCTTGGTGCAGCATGTAATTTAGCAGCTAGTAACCCAACAGCCGGCCTTGGCTCTAGACAGAGTGGTGGCGCCGAAGCGTGAACCAAAGCTGCCTCCACTGCCTCAATTGCACTTCGCTCTTCACCTACCCATCCACATCTACTTCCAATGCACATTGCGTCCGTTATTATGCTCTAAAAACGATGTAGTATATTAATATAGGCAATGAAGAGGTGTGTTGAACTTTGTACCAATATATTTTCCGCGTTTATACTTGCTCCTACGGCAAGAAAAGTGCGTCTGAGGTAGAAAGAAACTTATGAGACTAAAATGAAAAAAAAAAAAAACTTAATGAGGCTTAGTTTCGACTCTGTTTTTTTTAAATTAGGTGAAAATGCGCCTACATAGGCCCGCGCTATGGATTCACTCAAAGCTCTACCTAGTGGCTACCTCGCTGATGGCAGAGATTCAGAGGGTTAGACCCCACCCACTAAAACACGTTCACCCTTCATCCCTTAAGGTGGGGCCTCGGGGTTGCCAATTCTCTATATAATACCATAAGAAAATACTTCTTGTTCAAATAAAATTATTATTATTAACCCCTTCAACTAAGTAAATTTTTTAAACTGAATAAAAATGAGATATAATTTAGTATGATTCTGGGTAAACATTTTAAATTCAAAAGAATGTATCTAAAGAAGTTTAATATCTATGGTGTAAAATCTTTATGACTGTTTCATTAAAAAGATAAAATATAAAAAAGCAGTCAAAATAAGATTCTTTTTTTAAATTACCATTTTTTCTTGCAAGTCTCCATAAGGGAACTAGGGCCATAATATTTTTGTTATGATAAGTATCAAAACTCTAACCTAACTTAACTCTTTTGGAGGGAATTACATCAAATCTGGTTAATTATTATTGTTTTTGCCAAAAAATTACCTGATTTGTAGGCCTCAAAAGAACATGATGTGTATCGCACATGAAACTGGGATATGCTTGTCTATAATCTCTGACTTGAGCAATAATGCACCCAGAGTAAAACAAACATGAATGTTCAGATTCCAGTAGATCTAAAAGCACCACTGGCAGCTCTTCATTGTCTAGGTAACTAAGAAGTTCTTCTTCTTCATATGGCCATCTAGGAGTTTCTATCAAGGTTTCATCTTGATTTGCAGATGTCTAAAACATAGGAAAAATACTCAATTAAATAAACACAATAGAATAAAAAATACTGTAGCAAATTAACTAAGTTAAATTGAAATATAATTATATTTACTTTTAGGATTCATTGAATGCCATTTATTTAATTCTAAATGATAACGTTGATTAAGTTCATCAATTTGAAATATTTACAATTTTAATAGACACATGTCTATAATATTATAAAGTAGTCTTTTTTTAAATAAAGTTTTGTTTGAGTTAAATTTTGCTGGTCTCCCACCAAACGTGGATCTGAATAATCTAGGTGGTGTATAAATGCATCTCTGCATACTCAAACTCAAAATAACTTTATTCATATAGGTACACTTATGAACTTCAACAGAAAAGATGTTAAATTAATTCTAAATTTAAATTTACTACCAGTTCGCATGTCAAGGGCATAGAGCGGGCAAGAAGAACTAGCAAGAAACTCTGCCACACTTTGAAACCGCCGCCTGGTTGGTTGTACGCTTAAATTAGTTCTGTTTCAAGTATTATACTGGTGAAAGTCACCATTTGTCCTAAAATATTTATTTTTTATTTTTGGTATATATGACCTGTCTCATAATATTTAATTCCGTATCGACTCCCTTGGGGAAATACAACGAATACACCGAACGACCTGCTTCTACATATAATTCTTAATGGAATAGTTAAATTAACTTATTGTATGCTCCAATACTTATATATAAAAATAGATGCATCAAATGTTGAATGAGCTATAGATAGAATATACTTCTGTTGCCTTTGGACAACCAAGATTTTAACTGCATTAGTTTTCAAATTAAAGAAAATCAGTATGTGAAAAACATAACATTATTATTTGGTATAAATCTGCAAGCCTCAATTAGAAGTAGAGCCTTCTAGGTATCATCTTAATATATATATATTACGTGTCACGTTGTTTGTCCGCTATGGACTCCTAAACTACTGAACCGATTTCAATCAAATTTGCACATCGTGTGCGGTTTGATCTAACTTAAAAGATAGGATAGCTTACATCTCAATTTATACCCGAAACATTATTTTATTGCAACTTATTTGTTAATTATTTGATAGTCACAATTCTAACAGATGGCGCTGTGTTGAAAGTACCAACGTTTCACATAAGCTACAATTTAATGACATTACCACCAAAAAACCATGGTTATCCCCATGACTGGTGTTCTCCTACCGTTTCCCTTGAATAGTTTACTACTATGTAATATAACAAAAACCTTAGCCATAGCAACCTTTGGCCGGTCTCCTAGTTGATTATATGTTTTACAAATTAAAAATAAAATTATTCTTAAAGCAATTAATGACCATAGACAAATTCAATAAATTCCTTGAATGAGATAATGAGATGAGGTGAAAAGGTCTAAAAGCATGATTAATGAACTCTACTACCTAGTTACTAAAATCTTATACATTTTTATAATATGAATAGTTATTTATTAATTAATTACTCATTATTTTAGATAAAGATATAAGAGATGATGTGTAATTAGTTGATGCGTTAATATTTCTTTTTATATTTACTAACAATACAATAAAGTTATTGCCAATACAATTTAAAAGACAACACAACTTAAACAACGACTTTTCTTTAAAAGAAAACACAAATATAATTGGCTGATTGGTATAAATTAAAATTGATAGTTTATCAATATTTTACTCAGAAATAAAAGAATGTTAACTTACACTTCCATCTGGTGGTGGTGTTAATAGCTGTGTATTTCCGTTAACTTTGAGAGAAAGTGAGTACCCTTTATTTCCAGGATACAAGTTGATAATTAATGTGTTTAGATTATATGTAGCTAAGAGCTTTTCCAGTAAATATGAAGTTGTTTTGAGTCCTTGCTGTAATGAAACACAAACTTTAAATATATTTTAATTTCACCTAAAGGCTTATGATTATTTTAAGTATCTTCAATAGTTAAGTTATTAATATAGCAGTAAGCAATGCAATGTTCCACTAAAAATACTTACAAACAAAAAATATTCATAAAATAATATCAAGAGCATTAAATAGATACAATATACAATTTAATAATAATGTCAACAGAATGGATGAATAAAATCTATAAAAAACACTCACATAGCTCGCTTGAGATAATTCATCCCTACTTAAATCATTGTAAAGTTCATGTAACTTCTTAAATAAATCAAACTTTTCGCTCGATTTAGTAGTTGAACTAGTTCCACTTCGTTGAAATTTCATTCTGGTATCATCAACAGTTTCTGCTAAATGCATTTTTTCATGGGTCCAAGTCATTTTATGGTCTGAGACACCACTGTCAAAATGCGTTATGTTTGAATTCACATGTTTGGCACGATTAAGTATTACCTGAAATTTAAATATTTTTTAATAATAAATTAGTAAATTAAGAGTGAAAAAATACATGACCTAATGAAACACAAATTAAAAATTATGTAGGCGCTAGTACTTACCTCTGCTTCCAATGCCGCGTGAATTAAACCATCCATAATGTCATTAATTAAAACAAAATATGTTACTTCTAGTTGATTTTCTACGTGAATTATTTCATTTTAACAATTTATAATTGAGTATTAAGTCATGATTTAATAAAAGTAATACGCTTTATTTATGTTTCACACAGCATGACAGTAAAATAACATGTCCAATAAAACGTCAAATTTGTTGTTAATAATTGACACTAAACACATATTATGTTGTCTATGTCAAATCCCACAAGACATTTACAAAAGGTGAATTTTATACTGTGGTGATGTAGACATAGCGCATACAATCTAATATCTAATCTGTGAATCATATTATGTCTTCAGTCTTGTAAATCACCATTTTCTTAGCTAAAACTTCCTTTAGGTTGGACAAAAGATAGTATGTATATAGATTGTGTATGATATGCTTGTGTAGAAAACATACTCAGCCTAACCGAAAGTGAGGCGTAGCCTTTATTGAACGTAAATTAGCGGCTTACTTGATACACAAAGCTACTGTTATCCATTTATAATATGTATCCGTTAGAAATGTGGATTGAATTTAATTCGTATGTATTTTAGAATAATGTCATTTGGTATTGAGACGAAATAGTCTGTAAAATACTTTAACGTAGAGAAGACAATTCGCAATGTGCATTGGCTTTTTTATTTTATTTTTACATTTGCTCTGTGGAGTTAGCAAGCGTATTCATAGTTCAGACAGATTGAACCGTCCGTGTCAAGTGTCAACTGTAAATCGAGCATTAGGATTTATTTTATAATGCCTACAAATATTAGAGAGATCAGAGATGCCTTCATAATTTTTATTTAAATCAGGGTAATGGGTATTGTATGCTAAAACCAAAGGCCAACTTTTCATCACATCTTGAAGTCAGATTTTAATAAACTATTACAGGATCAACTTTAAATTTACAAGCACACAGCAAGGATTGTACTCAAAGACACTTTGGTTAATGGTAAAGTCATGTGCAATATACATACTAGAGCATTTGAAATTTTGAAGTTAGTTACAGCTTTTTATGTAGAGAAAAGTGATAGTTTTATAATTTAGTGTGAATTGATTACTAACAATAGGATCTCAATAACCAATAGTACTATGAAAACTTAAATGTATCACTTTCTATAAATTAAATGGAAAAATAAACATAGTTGGTAAAGAATTTAGTTAACTATATAAATAACTTATGAAACTCTAGTCATAGAACTGTTTATTATATTAAGTTATTACAATAAAAATACAGGAAACATTCATGAAAATAATTATACATATTTATCTTAAAAACCCTATTGACCAATTCTTTAATGGGTAAATAAATAAATAAAATATAAATTTATACTAGCAGACTCGGCCAAGCGTTGCTGTGGCTAAGGATTTTGTTATATTACATAGCAGGAAAACAACAGTCATGGGGATCACCATGCCTTTTTGGTGCCTATGACATTAAATTCTAGCTTATGTGAAACGTTGGTACTTTCAACACAGCGCCATCTGTTAGAATTGTGTCAAATAATTTGCAATAAAATTACATTACTATCTTTTAAGTTGGATCAAACTACACACGGTGTGTAAATTTGATTGATATCGGTTCGGTAGTTTAGGAGTCCATAGCGGACAAACAACGTGACACGTAATTTATATATATTAAGATATAAAATGTATTAAAAAGTAATGCTTGCTTATTATTTACATCATTGAAGCCTTATATATAATAAAATATTTATTTTATGACTACACCTTCATTTGCAAAAATCATGATACCCATTACAGTATGTCCAAACTAAAAATGTTAGTTGATACAAACACACTAACATATTTTGAAGATAGTTAACAAAGTAAGGCCTACATTATTATATGCTCTTGTATTTATATAAATATGGGCCTAATAATAAAAAGGCCATCTGTGCCTAATTGATACCGTAGACTTTTCAGGTCTAAGGCATGCTGGTTTACTTGCAACATTTTCTTTCACTGTATGAGCTAGTGTTTAATGCGCACACTGGTACGCAGCCAGTGTTTGAAATATATTATCACAGGGATGAGCAGTAAGCCATAAACTGCTCAAGTGAAAATATGTTGAAGAGAATTTTATAAATTAAAATAGAATCCATAACAAAAAATATTTATTTAAACCTCATTAGATGCCATATGTCTTATTAAATTACTTATGAAATTATCAATTTTTCTAACATCTTGTTGTATTTCAGTTTTATACTGGAGACACTGAAACAGTAATAAAATAATTATTAAATAGGATTCATATTGAATAGCAGTTTATAAGGCCTTTCAGCTCAAACTAGGTTAAAAGAATTACTAATATAATAAAACTTTTGGTAAATCAAAAGATGTACCCTACCATATGTATAAAATTATTTCTTTCATACCATTATTATAATTATTTCTGGAAGTAACCTATTTCTGACATACTATGCATGTGCCACATCAATAACATATTTTAAATATTAGAGAACCTATATAGCCTACCTTTTTATTGTCAGTTATTTTAACTACAAATGCTCCTTTTAAATGGCAATATTTAATTGTATAACGTGTGTTTATTGGATCACGTAAATACAATAATTCAGCAGATTTCTCAAATTCCTCCCAATTCGGTATGAACGTCATTTTTTATGTGATATATAGTTTGCGTTATCTAAAGACCCTATTTACTTTTTCGTCCAGAAAATGTACAATAAATATCACACTAGTTTTACTATATTTATTATTTTATAAGTATTGACAAAAATCTTTATATTTTGCTAGAAGCTAGGGATGTGACAATCGGATTGGATCCCATCGATTCTCACAATAATGCGATCGAATCCAATCGATCCACTAGATTCTACTTTTCAAATATCGGATCTCAAATTCATGTAATGGTTGAACTTAGTTTTAAGTAAAAATAATCTAAAATTTTGATTAAACCGATATTGGTTTTTCGTGATTTTAGAAAGATAAGTTAACGAACTAACTCGGTTTTTTAGACTAGTCACTAGCATTTGACAATTATATTTATATCTATAATATTGATTGTGATTTAAAAAATCGAATGGAGCTTACAAGTTACAATTCACTTGCCTACTATACTGGAATTTTGAAAATTTATACGTCACAAGCTTTGACAGTTGATACTTGACAAAACCTACAATACGATATTTTAACCAGAGACAACGTTGTTTATGTTTGTAGATTTTTAATTTCTCTGACAAACTATAAGCATCTAGATCTTTGCAATGCTAAAAAAGAAGAGAAGTAGGTATAGAATATGTGTAATTATTGATCTCATAGCTTCACTCGTTAGAATCAATTAATATTTAATAACGTTAGGGCAACACTCAACCTAGCGCACCATAGAGCGCGCAACGGACGTCGGCGGTCTACATACCTATTACAGGGGATCGAATAAAATCAATACTATTGCAGTGATGTATTCATTGGTCTTTTTAAAATGAGAACGTGACAAAAATTTAGTTTTTATTCATCGAAAATACTATTTTAATTATAAAGTCTGTTGAAGCTTGATGCTCATTTATTATTTATTTACATAGTGATGAATATTTTCATAGTTACGGCGTGGTAGAACATTCTGCGTTGATCGTCTATTTTAATGCAAAATATTAACTGTTAAAGGTTAGTAGTTATTTTATATTTCGTATCTTCTTTTCAAAATGCGTCTTTGTTGAATACATTACAATTTAAGACCTCTAACGATTTTCGCCATTGTCTACTGCATGCATGGTGCATTGCGTTTTCAATACACACCTAAAAGGAGGATTTAAAATGTATACATGTGTAACGACTTATTGATTGCGCTTGTAACTGATTAACAAGAAACGAATTGCACGTTAAAGGTCGGTGTTAGCTATTATTATAGTTTAAATGTAATGTGAACAAAATACCAAATGGTATTATACAACCTCATCTATTGTTCTTATAAGAGCTCTTATTGGATTTTTTAGATATTGTAACCAAATGCTTGTGAAATAATAAAACTTTATCGTATTTAAATCTCGTAGTAATTAAAATTGATTTGTAAATCCTGTAAGAATTAAACTAAAGAGTGACTCTAGTGTCTTTTAGAAGTGAGCATTTCTTAAAAAAAAACTTAATCAAATATTATATTTAAATTTAACCTCATTAGGTTAATTAATACTATTTAATTACAGCTAATAATAAAATTTTATTATGTTTAAATTTAACATAATTAATTTCTCTAGGTATTTATAATATGGATGCCGTTTATTATTATGTAGAATCATTTAAAAGCAACTACACATTATGTACCTATATAATATATAGTTGCTTTTAAATGATTCTATAATTACAAACACATGTAAAATGTAGCTTACCAAATTCATAATGCTCTTTTACCATTTGGAAAGAAAATTTAATAATATGTATTACAATAAAATGTAGAAATATTTCATAAGAATAAAAAATATTATTGTTATCTATTTTATATTTTAATAGGTATATTAAATTTTAAAAACTGAGCTGGAAGGATTTAAATTTCATTTTCCATCTGGTTCTTTAAAATCAATACTATTGCAATATAAAGATTCCTAAAAGCATTATTAAATTGATTATATAAAATCATTTCTCGTTTCTATCTCACAAATGTTTTGTGTTTATGAAATAATAAATTGTATTTCTATTGTTAGTAGTGCATTTGATTGTGGTTTATTATTTAGCATTGTTGTTCATACAGTCTAATTATACATTATTGTTTAAAAATTTACACAATTGTATTTCAAGACATTTATTTATGCAGTATAAAACTTATTCTTGATGGTCGATCTACATAGTGCATTTGTACTTCACTCTAACAAAACCTTTGCTGACTTTAATGCTTAGCACATTTACTGATTTCAATCTCAGCTTATATTTATACCAAATTAGTGCAAGTACAAATTGATATAACTTGATTTATGAGATTTTCTAACTCAAACCCTTAGGGTAGTTTAGTTTAGAGTTGAGACATTGTGCAAACATGACTACCCAAATGGTTTTCATATAACTTTGTTAATTAATTGAAAATAAAGTTTTGAATATGTTTTGATGTTTATAGATTAACAGTTACATTGTAAATGTATTTTGTTGTTTTAGATTCTTGTTGTTTGAAGAAAAAGATATACATTATAATATACAAGGGTTATTTGTAAGGAAAAATGGAGGAGTTGAATGGGGATCTTTATGGGGATGGTCTCGTAAGTCTCGGGGATGAAGGATCATTGGAATCTACTGATAGTGGAAAGCAGGACCAAAGTTGCACAATTTGCGAGTAAGTGTGCTAATATACTTTACAAAAAAATAGACTTTACAATTTACAATATTTTTGTACAACATACTATTTTACTCAATTTTTTATTAGTTTTGTAAAAATATCGATTATTTTAGCAATAAGCTGTGCAGTCCTCGGGTGTTGTCATGCCTACATGTATTCTGTGAAACATGTATAGAAAAGCTGATGGTAAATGAAGCAGGTGATACTTTGAAATTTGATGTAGCTGTTGAATGTCCACTATGCAAACAAGAAACCAAGGTAAGAACATATCAAACTCGTTTCATCCGTGAACCATATATTATATGTAACAAGCATTATATTATATAATTTGTATTTTAGATTCCTGTGGGGGGAGCAGCATCTTTACCATCTGATTATGTGATTACTAACATTTTGGATGTGTCTTCAATGGATCAATCTGTTGTTTGCACCTGTTGTAAGAGTAAAGAACCAGCCGTAGCTCGTTGCACTGATTGTTCCCACTTCCTATGCTCAAATTGTAATTCTGCACATGAGTTCATGCGCTGTTTCGAAAACCACAGAGTTGTCCCATTTGATGCGCTTCGGTCGTCTAAGGAAAAATCTGCTGTTCATAAACCAATATTCTGCAGCCGCCATGTTGGTGAGAGCCTAAAACTGTATTGCTGTGACTGCGAAGTTGGTGCTTGCACCGAGTGTCTCACAGTAGATCACAAAGTTGGTGAACATCGTTGCGAGCGCATAGTCGATGCAGAACCGAATCTCCGAGCCGAATTGCGTAACTACATAGTAGAAGCAAACGCGCGTGCAGCAGCCGCCGGTGGGGCTTCAGCCCGGCTTGACGATGCCCTGGGAGACCTGCAACGCCAACGCGATGAAGCCGAGAGCCTCATTAATGAAGCTTTCCATGCCTATAAAGCTGCTCTAGAGAGGCGCCGTGAGACAGTTCTAGAAGAACTCGAGCGCTTACACAAAGAGAGAGAACTGAAGGTTATGGATCTATTCGACCGCGTGGACAAGACCGTTCTTCGTATTGATTGCGCTTGCAAGTTCACCACACGGCTGTTGAGACGCGGCGACGGCACCGAAATTGTGATGCTTAAGAAGACCGTCGCTTCTCAATTTGCACGCCTGTTAGAGGGGGCTCCGGAGTTTGATGTCGATTTCTCTTTGGAGTTCGTGACAAAGATGGATAAATTCGACTCTATAACTGAAGATACCTTTGGAGCCTTCCGGACTGAAGCAACTATGGCGGAGGAAAGGAAACGGTTAAGCGAATCCTCTGCGATCGTGTCCGTTGCGTCGAACGCTCATTCCCCAGCAGTGTCGGTGACCAATGCACCGGTGTTTGATGATTTTCCTCTTGGGAACGTTCGTCGCGTGACTGGCGTTTCTGGGGTAGGAATGGTGGGAGTTCCCTCAATGGGTGTAGGCTCCGGGCCAGTGGCAAGCAGTGGGGTATTGCCTGGGGTCGTGAGCGTTAACAATGTAACTGGAGTAGGCTCAGTACCTGGGGTGCCAGCGCTGCCGTCTATGGTCGAATACAACTTGCAGCAGTTGGCAAGTATTGCCGAAAAGGACGTCCCGCCACCCCCGCACGCTTCACCCGCTCCTTCATTCACATTAGCGGAATTACTGGCTGGTGATTTGAACTCTCCACATGCATACAACAACTTGCAAGCTTTAGCCAAACTTGGATTGAATACAGGTAGTCAAATTATCTAAAACAAATTGCCTAAAAACAAACTTTATAATAAACAGAATTCATATTGGATAGCCTCTTTTACAATTTATCTTAACTTTCCAGAGGTCAACGGCTATGGTGGGGTCGGGGGCGTAAGCGCCATTAGCTCAGTAGGCCCCCGGGGCGTGTCCCCTGGTCGTCCGCTTTTAACAGCAGCCGAAGAAGCAGCCTTAGTCGCGCCACCTGCCCCACTCGTTCGGGCAACGAAGGCCACACCCATGCATATTAGATTTAAATTCGGACAACTCGGAGGCGGTAAGGGCCAGTTCAACTCCCCCCATGGCTTCTGCCTTGGAAATGATGAAGACATCATTGTTGCGGATACCAATAATCACCGGATTACTGTAAGTATATTCTATATACATACTTCGTAAATTAAAAGAGATAATGTTTTGGTATCTAGAAATAAACTATTTAATTTTAATCTCAAAGCTTAAAAAAAGGTTATTAAAAAATTTTTTGCTACTTCTAGTTAAAAAAAAAATTCTATATACTGATCTAAATAAATCGTGCAATTTTCAGGTGTTCGACAAAGCTGGCAATCACAAGTTCAATTTCGGTGTAGCGGGTAAGGAAGAGGGCCAATTGTGGTACCCCCGTAAAGTGGCTGTGGTCCGCGCCACTGGAAAGTTTGTGGTCTGTGACCGTGGCAACGAAAGGTCCCGAATGCAGATATTCACTAAGAATGGGCACTTTTTGAAGAAAATTGCCGTAAGTATCTCGCATTTTTGTTCTAAGGGAGCGTTCAAGTATTACGTCACGCAATGTTTGGAGATTATTGACCCCCCCTCCCCATGTAACGCGCCGTAACGTTATGTACCCTATAGTAAAATGGTTCGTGACCACCCAGTGACGCTTTATACCTAAGAGTTACCATTATGTGGTGTAAAGTACTGGAAAGTCGAAAATAATATTAACAATAACGGCTTAATTCAATCCCCGCCCCGCATCGTAACGTTGTACAAAAGGTCCCCCCCCACCCAAAATTCGTTACGTAACAATTGAACTCGCACAACAGTCAAGTATATACAAGAATTATAAGTAATCTTATGATAACTAAAGATATATAATTTTACTATTATTTATATGAAATATGGTACTATAACTTTCCTTTAGCATTTACCTCATTGATCTGAATACATTTAAGGCTTCAGCGGAACACAAATACCTTCGATATGAATTAAATATTGCATACTGAATCTCAATCCGCTGCACTGGTCCTTTATTATTTTACTTTTCATAAGAAAGAAAAAGGAAAATGCTAATATTTCACACAGCAACACTTCAATACAGAATTATATAGCAGTAAAAAGGTTTCTTTTAAAGGGTCTCACTATTTTTATTATTTTTGTAAAAACTAGCTGTTCGCCATTTGTTGGTTGTATTGTTGCGTTCTTCTTTAAACTGATATCTCCCAATCTTAAAATTAAATGTCGTCAACGATTCTAGTTTACTTATGTATTTATTTGTATATGAATTATACTTATTACGCATGCGCCATTGGGTGTTAATGTAACACTTATAGCCTTCCTTGAATTTACTTTCTAAATTAAATTTAAATCGTTTAGTTTTTAGGGCGTTTAAACAAATATTGAAGTGATTTTGTCGGGTACAGGTGCGGTTCATCGACATAGTAGCTGGCCTGGCAGTGACAGCCGAAGGTCTAATAGTGGCAGTGGATAGTGTGACCCCAACTGTATTTATTCTGTCTGAGGAAGGTGACCTCATGAGTTGGTTCGATTGTAGTGAGTGTATGCGGGAGCCTTCCGACATTGCTATTAGCGGTGAGTATTCTGTATATTTTTGCCAATTTAAATTTCCAGCAAAAAATTCATATATATTACCGGAAATATATGAAATATAGGAATTGTATGCAATTCCTAGGAAATTTATATAATTCCGAAGCTATTTAGGAAATGTATAAAAATAATGCTTTCTGTAATAAAACTAATCTAACGTAACTTTCGTTTGGCAAGTAATCTGTCAGTTATTTAAGTCGTTGCAAATGTCACAATATTAAAGTAAGCCTTGTATGTATTTCTTTTTATTTACACAAAATATACAGTATTTACAATTTTCTTAACCTATAAAGTAATAATAAAAATAATTAAAGAAGAAAAAGAAAATCAAAACAAATTTAAAAAGTTTGGTCCCTGTGGCAGTGTACCTTTAACGCTGGCAGCATTTCCTCGCTGTATTGCGAGACTTATTCTTTGAGCCAGGAAAGTGCCAGCTCTGTGGTCACCGGTACTATCTACCAGGCGCCAACTTAAATCTTTAATAAGCGCCTGTGCACTTGAACCCCACGGCCCAAGAGTCTCTACTCCAAAGGGAACAAAATTGAAGTTGGAGGAAAGACTCTTATATTTGTGCCGTTTGTTAATTTCTGCCTGTTCTGCGGCCGCGCCAGCTTTTTTGCTTGTCCGAAGGAGATGAGACGGGGCAAAGGTGTCTACACAGGTAGCATCCCATACTAAAGCCCGTCCCATTTTCCAAGGGATCAAAGACATTCCATCCGGCCGCTTGCCATCGTCTCTTGCATTAAGCCTTGTATTATTATACTATGTTAAATGTAAACAAGTCAGTCCATACGGCTATTTATTTTTGCAGGGTAAGCCGGAATGGCACTTGTACTTTATATTTTTTTTTAAATAATGGACGCAAAACTTTATATCCAAATCTTTCATCGGATAATTCTTCAGCAACAGCGCAAATACCGCTATCCCCGCATACCCATTGATATCTCAAATATTTCCGATTGCTATTTAGACAATGTAAAGATTTCTTAGAAAATGTCTAATATAATTTTACACATTTCCGTGCGGTTTTAGGAATTACATACAATTCCGAGGAAACGTATATAATGACGGATTACATACATTTCCGGTAACACATATACACACATAATTCAATGTTATTGTTATTTTGATCTGTATAAAATATTTATTACGAATATCTTTGTTATGTTTAAAAATCTAAATGTCGACGCACTCTAAATTAACGCTTCATTAAGTATTATTTTCGGATTTTAATATAATATTACATTTCTAACCACTTGATTGACCTATCCGTACACCAGTATTAAACTATCAAAGATCATAAATCAATTATACTCATTATTTATTGTTGCAATTATTTTTTTGTAATATTCTAAATCTATATTATTATATAATTTCCAGGCAAAGAATTCTACGTATGCGACTTCAAAGGTCACTGCGTGGTCGTGTTCGATGATGAGGGCAGGTTCCTTCGTCGCATCGGATGCGAGAACGTGACCAATTTCCCCAACGGGATCGACGTGTCGGACGCCGGCGACGTGCTGATTGGCGACTCGCACGGAAATAAGTTTCACGTGGCCGTGTTTTCGCGGGACGGGGTTTTGGTCACTGAGTTTGAATGCCCCTATGTGAAGGTAGGACAGTTTTGATTATGTGAAATTAAGATTTAAATTTAGATCTAATATATAAAATTCGCGTTACAATGTTCGTTCCCAGACTCCTCCGAAACGGCTCGACCGATTCATATTCAGTAAGTCTGAGAATCGGCTTCTATCTTTCAACCCCCTAAGTGATAAGGGGTTTCCAACCCAATTTTTTTTTTATTTTTTAGAAAAAAAAAAAAGTTTTTATCATACAGCATACAAAAACACATACAACCCCTAATTTGCACCCCTCTACGATCGACCCCTATTTTTTATTATTGTAGATAGTTATTTTTATTGAACTAAAAAATGTTTCCTTGAAATAATACGTTTTGATAATGATGCAGTATCACAACCAGTTTGTGATAACAAAAATTACTTCGAAATTCACTAAATAGTAATTTAATTTAATTGAATTCAAAGATATACAGCAAATATGTGAGAAAGTAACAAGTGCTCCGTTTCAGGTGTCCCGCTGCTGCGGTCTGAAGATAACATCCGAAGGCTACATCGTAACCCTGGCAAAGAATAATCACCACGTTCTAGTCCTCAACACCCTATATATTGTCTGAGGAATAACTCAATGGCTGTAAGTCGTACACAAGATCTCACATTTATTCCCTATTTTTATAATTTGATTGCTGATTTTACATTGCTTAACAGTATTTGACTAATTGTTATTTTTTTTTAATTGTTAAATTCACTAAACGTTGTCTATTCGCAGTGAAATCTCCTATTCGTTTCGGCCTCACTGCATAAGAACTGAATTTTTTGGTTTCGCATTTAGTTATAGTAACAGAAAATCCAAAGTTTAGGCTAATTTCATTTTTGTTTTTGCATCCGGTTGCTTCATACTTGGTTTGGACAATATGTAAGATTGTTCCGTAGTCGAAGTGGTTTAGTCCTACCGAGTATGACCATAGACCAGTGACTGGATTATTTTATATCTAAATTAGCAGCTATGGTTCCTAGTTCGAGTGAAGTAATGTCAATTAGGTTCTGATGGGGTGTCGCCTCGCAGACGAATCGAACATTATTGCTTGTAGTCTCATTTTATTGCCCGTGGGCGATAAAGGCCATGTGTTTACGCACAATTGATTTAATCTTTTTAGTCTTTGACCAAAGGAGGCGACACTAAAACGTGCCATCTAGTTTAGGTTTAATCGCTTATACAATATTATATATTGTCCGTTAAAATATATTTACCTTTTACAGAAATTCTTGTGTCTATACAAAATGTTTTTTCCATGTACTCTTGTTTTGAGAGCCTATATTTGAACATTTTTTCGTGGTTAGGCTGTTAAGGAACACTTTCTTTGGTAATTGGATTGAACCACTGTAAATACAAATTATATACATTGAGTGGTTTTTAGTAGTTTATGTGGCATTTTCATGTAACTTATCGATATTTCGACTGTTATTCACCTTTTACATAGCATTAGGGTAAGTCACAAAGTTGATTAGTGGGTTCGATCGCTTATAAATGGGTTGATATTGAACAAATAGGCTATAAAACTATCGTTCGTAATATATCCATGAATGTGCCATCATAAACCTATATTATTTCTACTAGTTATCATCAAAATTACTGTTCGCCAAAGTATATATTTTTTATAGCGATCCAAGTTAGAAATTTTTGGAAAGTTAACTCTTCTTAAAGTTAGATGGTAGGTGAATAATTAATCGTCACCTTAGATATCCTGCTATATATTGTTTTGAAATAATGATTTTCGTGGTCTTCCATTGGCATTGAAATATTTTATTAAAATTTATTTGAACCAAATTTAAATTGGAAGATGGAGTAGTCGGGGTCATTATTTCAGCAAAAAGTCCTTTCTAAATTGATAAGTACTTACACAAACCACCTATATTTGAGTGTGATATTTTGTTGATATATTATTTTATACGATGCTCTCTAGCCCCTATAGAAAACAAGATTTGTAATTTTGAACCTCATTTGAATATGGCTTCGTTTTTTGAGTTCCTTAAGCCCAGTGCAAAAGTCTACTTGTTCATATGATGAGCCGATTTTTTTAAAATATTGCTGAGCCATACACTTATACCGTAGCCGTTCACATATTATATCATAAGTATATTGTACTTAATTAGTCGGTAATATTCGTTTGTATTGGAACAGTATATGGGTTCAATTAGACATTTAATGTGATATGAGCAATAATGGAAAACCGTCGAGTACCAACACAAGTCGCCGAGTCGAAGTCACATCTCGTGACCACTTCGGCGTTGACGCTTTGATTTATTTATTAGTAGCTTTTGGGTTTTTTTTTCTTATTGTTTTTAAGTTATTTGTTTCAGGATTTTTTGTCCCGATAGTATTAGGGAATTTTATTTTCTTTTATTATTTGAACTAAGCAAATGAATAAGTCTGCGAGCGTTGCGGGTTTTAATGTGTGAGTAATACTCGTATTTTATTAATTTTACTGTATTGTTTTAATTGTCCCTGGGCCCATATTTAAATAGTATTTATGGCCAGTGCGTAAGGCCTTAGGGTTACGAATTTTTACTGCCAAATTGTTTTCTTACTATATTTGTGCATGCACATAATTATTATTTTACTGTATAGGTATTTGTAGAAATTAGTTACTAGTTGTTGCCAATTTTTTTTGTTTTAATATTCAGGGTTTTAATATTATTATAATGTTCAATATTTTATTTGTTGTCCATTGGTCGAAATTTTTGTGTGTTAGTGACGTAAAATTTTACAGAAATACAAATAGGAGCCCCAAAGGGAGCGTTTGACGCTATTAATAATATTGCTTAGAGTTGCATAAAATTATTAAAAAAGTGGTGTGATAAGTTTTGGATAATTTTACAAATTATACTATTTTATGTGTGAATTTCAATATTGATAAATTTAAAGTACGCATTACCAATAACACAACGGAATCGACATTTATTCGACCGTATGTTTGAGAGTATTATTTTAGAATACATTTAATCTAATTTGATGTAAACAGTCGACGAGAGTTTCCTTTTGTTCTTGCCATGTATCTTATGTAGGTGTCGAAGTAGAGGTTTTGTAGGAATTAGAATTTTTCAATTATTGATGTATACAGAGCTGTGGGAGCGATGGTGTTATTTAGAGTCGTTAGTTAGAAGGGTGGCGGGTATTCGCTGCGTCTCTTTGGCTGTATATTTATGCTGTTACGAATAAGCACTGTCATGGGGTTAATGGCAGGTCAAATGGTATCTATTGTCCATTGACGTTACACGATAATAATTGTATCATTAGAGTACATTACAGTAGCCTTTCTTGGAAATCTTAAAGTTACCTATATACACGTAAAGCGATTTTTGGTACATGTATTTCTCTTCTATATTCCCTTATGTATCCAGCAATAAATTCGGTAGATGTAGTATGCGCCGTTTGGCATTAACGTTGTAAGCTCCGACGGCGATCGCTCGATTGTCCGTTCGGTGGAATGCGCAAGTTTATTGGCAAACGGTGTGGTATTAGGGTTCGCAGCGCACAAGGTGAGCTCATGTTACCCTCCCTATTGGAGGTGGGCGTATTGCCTATTTTGTGGCACCAAGCACAGCTCGATATTCCGGTGGAGTTCGTGATTCTTAGGACCGTGCTAATTGACCGTGAGTAGGGTTCGGACGGGATGTGCGTTCAGTTTGGGACACCGACAGCTGATCACCTGCTTTACGATTCAGTGATCCTAAATCCTAATTAACCCCCCGGGGCCATGTTGGTAACTCGTAGAATCGATTTTATTGTGTCATTAGTATAGTATTAACGCATTTAGAATTGAAATTTTTCACCTTACCACCGCCATATTAGTTTGGTCACTCCACTGTTCAAAAACCAATAAAAATAAGGTTGTGAGCTGAATTCCCTTGGAATTATAAGCCACATGAGTGCTTGTGCAATAAATATCACAGTTTGGGTCTAGGCTTTTAAATTATTATAGATTATATACATTGTTGAGCTGATTATAAAAATTTAATATATTATTATACCTTTTAATATTGTTAATGAATTCTAATTGCATTCCACATAGAGTGAACGAATTTGAAATGACCATTTTCAATCTACATTATACAAGTTATTTTTTTTACAACGTAGGATTATTAGCAGTTGCCAATGTTTTTTCCTTTAGTCAGTAAAAGTACAAATATTTTAATATACAATTCTTGGTATTTATCTATGTAGTGTCTAATTTTTTTTTTAATTTGTTTGTTTAACTATAAGCATAATTTTTTTCACTAAAGCGGCCAGTTACAACTTGAAAATTATTCGGTAAAAAAACATATCACTTGGAATCTGTTTCTCGCATTACGTAATGTGTATAGGCAAATTCATTAACGCTAAACATATAGCAATACATTGCTCACTACGACAGCTCGGTATAAAAAATGTTGCATACATTTTCCGTAATGTGAGATTGTATTTTTATCTTAGTAGTAACATCTGTATGTTTTCTTTAATTTTACGGTTTAATGGCTTTCGTTTTATTTCAGTTAGTTATAAGTGTATCCTAAGTTACAATTAATGTTTCTCGTCATTTTTATTATATCGATTAAATTTGTTTGTATGAATGGTGCATGTTCCAAATGCATATTTTATTTTTGATCCAAAGATTTCTTTTTAATGCTTATAGTTTAATTTTATTTATAAAACGACATTTGTGGAGTGTGCATTGGCATTTGATATTAGAATCACATAATTCCGTAGCGTTGGTGCAACCGAGCAAATGTCTACCGTATTCTCGTATGAATATTGCTCAATGGTTTTATTACGTTTAAAGTATTTTAACATAGGTGTTAGTCCACGGAGTGTATTGGCCGTGGACTCCCGCGTACATAATATCTACCGACAATACCCTCCGTAAACATTAAAAACTTGAAACGTTAAATTTTATTATTAGGTAGTTGTTTTGCCTTGTCGCCTTGCATCGGCGCAAGTTGCGGGGCGCCAGAGACACTGGCCAGGCTCTGGAGCCATTTTGACTGCTTCGACTCAAAGCAATATTATCCAATTCCCGATTGCACATATCTTTTTTAATACGACCCGGTTAGCAGTTAATAATGTCTCCAGTGCCGCGGCGGTGTTAGCTGAACAAATTTTAGCCCCACAGTCAACGAAAGTATTGTTATAATATTACATACAGAATTTTCTGCAGCGTCGTGCCTAGATCTTAGAAGTTAATCGTATTGAGGTAGAGATAATCTCAAATATTTTGGCTCTTTGAATATTCCATGATATTATTTTGTTTTTCGTGAAATTGTATTTACATTATACATTCATACACTTAGTAATATTGTATACATGAATATACATTGCGTAGTTTGTAAATTGATTTAAATGTAAAAATAAGATGCGCAACTGGTTTTTTACATCGCCGATTGGGATCGCAGGAATTGATCGATTTTAATATAGAGCAATCGAGTATCTCGTGTGTTTTTTTCAACTAGTTGATCGTCTTACTTTGACACTTTTCGCCGCGGAGGTTACTTGAGAATTTGGTATTGTTGAGCTCGCACCTTTTTGGCGAGTACAAATTTTCACGTGACTGCGGCTTTTATTATTAAGTTTATTATTCGTGAACTGTGGCCAGGACAACAGCACAGAGCAGTGTAATTCAGAGCCTGCCTAACATATATTTTTGTCATGATTTTATTTAGGTATATACATGTTATTCACATATTACAGTTTTCTCAATAATAGCTTGTATTTTAATTAAGAAATAATCATATTTAACATTGCCAGGTGATCAGCAACCTGCACTTTAATATTTTTGGAAACTATTGAACTTAAATTGTACTGACTTTATAAATATATTTACTTCAATAAAGATTTTCCATGCCACTAGTGAGGGGTTTTATTTAATATCGAACTATCTCTTGTATGCTCCAATACATTTTATCCCAATTAAAACCCTTAGTCGAAGATTTAATGTGATTATAATCGAGCTGCCCTAAAAACAACATAGTCATGTGTTGTCTAATTAAACAAAAGCATTTAATAAAAATATTTAATAAAATGTATATGAAAATTTCAGATTTGACTAAAAAAAATATCACATGCTATTACACAATTTCTTATGGTTAAGTGTGTCTGAAGACACATTCGCCTGCAATCCAAGTCGACATAACTTTCAGTGTTTTGCGGTCTAAAAATACAAAGTCTGCATCAAAGCCATAATTTAGTTTTCCTTTCCTATTGTCTATTCCCAGAGCTCGGGCAGGATGCAAGGACGCAGTTTCCAAAGCATACTCCAGGGTACATTCTGAAAAAAAATATTGATAAGTTCATCATTTAACAAAGCACACCAAACTAGACTCAGATTTTTCATTCCGTAGAATTCTGACATTTCATAAGTACTACTAAAAAAGTTCTCAACCGAAAAAGGGCCAAATTTGACCCATTAGAGGGAAAATAAAATGCTACGAATTTTTTATGTTTTCCTACATAAAGGTAAATCTTAATATTTACTTAAGTGTAGGTCACTTAAGTAAATATTACAAATACAAATATTTAAATATCACGAACAATATATCGAATTAACTTTAATTACTTTATTTTATTCTTCAGCTGGCATCACTACCTACTAATTCCAGGTTAAGTAAACCTTTCTAAGAAAGTCAAAAAGGTATCATTACTTGTGCGTTTTTTACTGTTTGTGATGAAAAGGGACGTAATTATCAGTCGCCGTAAAACCACTTATGTGGAGCACGCACTTAATAAAATGGATACATTCACTAACAAGTAAAACGTATGTATATTGTTAGATGTTTAGACTCGTATTGAAATTGAAAAATGTGCCCGGCCAAAAAGGTTTGTAATCTCTGACATGTCAAAAAATGATAGCTGTCAGAATTCTACGGAATTAAAAATCTGAGCATAAAACATTGTTGCATTTAAGCTTAGGTTTCCTAGAAAAGCGGTGCCGTTAACTAACGGCCGTCATTTTACGGTTGTTAATAAAGGCCGTCTTTACTTTTTAATATAATGCAAAAAAACAATTTTCGCTCGTCCAAGTCACGTTTTCACTCATTGTATTAATTTAATATGGCGCTACACGCGAAAAACGTTGAACTAATGTCTATCACCGATATGACGGCCGTCATGCAAATGACAGCACCGCTATTTGACGTTACGGTGACACTCGACCATTAAATAACTTTTATCACCTGTAGATTCCTTGAACGTCTTGACACATCGGTCCAATGCCATGGTACTGCCACACAATGTTTTGGTACCAGCAATGTATGCCCAACCATTCTCAACAGAGACTGCCTGTGGGCCAATACGGTATGCACCATCTGGTAATCCCTGAGCTGCAACTGCATCACTTATAAGAATAAGACCTGAAATTTTTGTATAATATGTAGATACTACTAGACTACAGCGCCACCTATCGCTAATTTAAAATTAAACCCACTTAGATAAAAATTGATATAAGAGTTTAGTGACATACTATGCACAATTGGATGACATAACTTGAATTTTACAGAATTTGTACTATTATATATTACTTTATAGTTGCTTGAATAGTGTCGGCTTAGGTATGTGCCACACATTCCTGAGGTCGTGCGATCGAATCACGGCACCAAAGGACTTTTTATATGTGCAATTAAGGGCGTTCAAGTATTACGTCACGCAATTTTTGGAGATTATTTACACAATTGAACGAACCGTAACGTTTTTCTGTACCCAAAAGTAAAACATTTCGTGATCATTCAGTGACTCTTTATACCTAAAAGTTACCATTATGTGCTGTAATGGAAAGTCGAAAATAATATTAACAATAACGCGTAATTCAATCCCCGCCCCGCATCGTAACGTTTTAAAAAGGCCCCCCCCCCCAAATTCGTTTCGTAATTTGAACCCCTCCCTTTTTGGCGCCCGGGGGGGTCAGATAGTCGTGGTCAAGTCAAGAACTTATAATTTAATTTTGATAATAGATACAAGTAAAAAGTAGGTATTAAAAATGTACGCAAGTACCTACTGTATTCCAAATATTAATTCTTTATTGTACACTTGAAATACTTAACACATAATAACTTGTACATATACACGTACATATTGCCATCTTCTCTTGAAGACATCGAGAGAAGCAGACATAGTTTTTAACTTAGAACTATGTTATGATATGTTGAAGTTTAGCCGTTCCGATTGAGAGGTAAAATTCAAATTTTCGATGCGTTCGTTCCCAAACATTTGCCATCATACAAAGTTATTATATTAAATTAATTAAATATTGAAAGTACCTAGTTACATAAAATCTGTATGGTGACAAAATATATTAAAAACCATTATGTTCAATTAATGGTCCATCTAAGTCCTGGAACCAGCTGGGGTAGGTTAGGTTAGTGGGGGGTCATGGATGGATGCGCCGTTGCAATTAATAGTGAAACAAAACATCGTAAGGAAATCGATATGCCCTTGACGTAAAAATGGACATGTGCCAGAAAGAAAAGGCGGATCAAAAAAATATTTCGAAACAAATACAGAAATCTGAGTCCCAGACCAGGCGGTTGTACCGCCACTGTTTGTTTAAAACTTATAATTATACTAGTTTAATTTAAGATAGGAATTAAGAAGTATGAAAGTACCACTGGGCTCGGGCGTTTGTGATCTACCATCCCATCCCCTTGACACACACAAAAATTTCATCAAATTGTCGTGGAGGAGTTCAGTCACAAACGCACACAAGAAATTATATTTATACTAATTACTTAATGATAATAGATAGCATAGGGGTAAAATTGTGTAGTTATAATTGGTAATTTTTATTACATTTAATTGAATAATTGATTACCACAATTTCTATAATATGCTAAAGTAGCTTTTATTACTTCCACGAAAATTCTAAAATCTTATTTGTAATCCGCTTTTGTTAAGTTACATAATGTGTTACAAACCTTCGCGATTTGTTCGACATGCTATTCTTAAAGCAGCTGGGTGAGTGTGGATACCATCAGATATGATTCCATAATATACTTGCTTTTCTGTTGTTGATGCTAATAGACCTACAAGGCCTGGGTCACGGTGATGAAACTGTAAGTTTGATATAAAGTGAAAAATGTTTTAGGCTATCTATCTATGGTAATATTAATAATTTTAACGACATGTATGATACAATTATTGTTTCTGTAACATATACAGATACTGGTAAACATCTTGAGCATTAAACAAGGTAGTGGGGGAAAGTTTGCGCATCGTACGCAGCGCGGGACACAAACGTCAACTGATTTACCAATCACGCGATCGACACGTCACGACGCGCTCAGCAAGGACATTTGTTCAAGATGTTTGCCCATCTGTACCAATGTCATATTAATGTGCCACCTCTATCTATTACATCTATGGCATTATAGCATAATGTTATAACATTTCAAACCAAAAGAACCATATTTTAAATTAATCTTGTAGTTATTGACTTTAAACAATAACCATAAGGTATTCTCGCACTTACTGGCAGCATTGCATTAAATAAATGTGTAATCAAATTTGCTCCCTGTCTGACACCTTCCTCAGCCTGTGACAGATCAGCTTCAGAATGACCAAGAGCAACTTTTATTCCTTTGTCTGATAACCGTTTTATGGCATTCAACGCACCTGGTAGTTCTGGAGCTAGTGTTACTATGACCACATTATCAAGGGACCCATACATCTCTATAAGGGAATCAAAGCCCTAAAAAATAATAGAACAGATTACATTGAAGTATGGACCATAAAAGACATTGATTCTCTAAAATAAACCCTATCCCATTTTCAATAATACAAGCGCATCAACAATTGACCCATTCAGGCAGTAAGAATTCCTATGAAGGAGACAACTTAATAAAGCATAATAATAACATAATAAATTACATTTGATAAGAGTACAATAACCTAATTGCAAAAGTAGGGCATTGATAATATAGGCACTTGTTTTTTTCTTATCTGTATTGTTTTAAACTATCTTCTGTAATTTCCAGTATTATACAACAAACAATTTATTCTTCAGTATATTGTATACATATATCTTAAAGTGAAACAAATGATAAATCAATCAGAATGGTCTTTAGTTATTATACTAATAAAACTATCACCTCAATAATAGTTGCTATGTATTATGATATTAGGTTAATAGATATTATATTACTAGTATATATTTATCTGGTGACAAAAGTGTAGTGTATACCACTTTAGTAGCGTATGTAGTATATATACTTTAATATTATCAGTACATATTATCAAAAAACAGTCTTCTGCCATTAGTGTTTGTTCACAATAAATTCACAAATTACCTCACTTTCATGAGGTTTATACAAAGTAGTTACAGCTTAAACGTATAGTTAATAATTATACCTTTTCTGGATTTTTTATGAGTTCTGGAGTATGTGCACCCTTTCTAGCCAAACAAATAAATGGACCTTCAAGATGGACACCAAGAACAGTGGCACCACTTTTGTTTCCTTGCTTTTTTTGTATCTTAGGCAAAATTTTTGAGTATTTATCTTTATCTGAAGTGACCATAGTGGGACAGAAAGATGTTACACCATGACTTAAAAGTTCTTTTGCAACTTTTTGAATTCCCTCTTCAACATTCTCTGAATCATATGAAAAGTCAACACCCCATCCTCCTGTTAACAAATCAGAAAATTACCACTTTCTAATAATAAAACACTTATACTTAATTTAATTATATTTATTTTTGTGCTAAACCCTAATTCGTTTGTCTTTTAAGTAATGTGAAAATTTTCAATAAGTTTAATTTAAAAAATTTTACAAGTATTCGTAAATATCAAAAATTAAACGTATTTTCCTAAAAAAATAATAATTACGTTGTATGAATAAATGTTTAAAACAATAAATAGCACATACCGTTTATTTGTATATCAATGAACCCAGGAGCGATAAGTAGGCCACCACAATCTACCGAAGTATCGGCCTCAACTTGTTCAACATAAAATACTTCTTCGGGATTTATAATTTTACCATTTCGAATCCATAATTGTTCCTTAATAATCTGACTCTCACGTAGAATGTAACAATTGAAAAATCTGGTAAGTCCGTTTCTTGCCTTCATTATTCCGTACGTGTCCAAGGATTTTCACAAGTTTTACTAAAAAAATTAACAACAATACGAATAATGTTTTATAATTTATATTAGTATAGACAAGTTTAGAGTATAGAGAATTCCAACCAGTTAATTATTTATAAAATATAAAAGACGTGCTGTGCACATAAAAATCGACTTATTTTTAAAAAACAAATAACAAAACTTGAACTTGTGATGTGAACTTTTTAAATTTTCCGTATGCGGGTTGCGTTTAACTTTCGAAATGCGAATTGCCAACTGCCATTTGCCAATTGCCTGTGAAGTGTGACCATAAAATATCAAGATGTCAGACGTCGTACGGGACGGGGGTACGTCAATTGTCTGCGCGGATGTCCCTTCCCGTATACGTTTACGTAAGGTCAAACATTGAAATTTAATATTTTCAATGTCTTATTGAAAATATTACGACATTAACTTTATTGCACACTTGTGATATTTTTACCCAAAACTTCGAGTTATGAGTGAAAAATCCGCGTTTATAATTGTCTAAGAGAATTTATTAAAAATAAAAATATATAAGATTAGGTATAGAAATGGGACCTTTTTGGTAGTCACATCATACTAGATGTATGAATAAAAAGTTGTATTTATTTATACAAATTTAAGGAAAAAACCTGTATCCATATAAGAAGGGAAAAAATATACAATAATTTACCGTTAGACAATGTCATTGCCGATATTTGATAAACAAATCTATGTATTCCAAGTATTTCGATAATTCTAAATAAACTTCGTAAAATACCCAATATTACGTTATTAAATTGAAACTTCTGACGTTTTTACGTGTACTTCTAAAATCCAATATAATACGGATTCCATCTTGCAAAGTCCACTCGCGGCCTCGAGAGCTTTCTCTAAAAGTCTAAAGTTGAGTTTCAGATTTAAAACACTTTAAAGAAAAGTTTCTTATAAGTTTGTTCGAACCGGGAAAGACTGTGGTCATCTACTTAGACGATTAAATTGTTTTATAGCAATCTACTTAGCTTAAACTAAAAATGTAACATTTTAAAACCAAATGTATACTAATGTACCTATACTTTTGTTCTAACATTTAGTAGTAAATTTATTTTATTAAAATAAACTTTAAATTATAACAACTAACAAAGTGCTACGGGAAATAACCAATGCTCCCTGGTACATTCGCAATAATGACCTCCATCGGGACCTTAATATAGAGGACGTCGCTACAATGATAAAAAAGACTGCTGGAGCCCACGAACATAGGCTCCACCGCCACGTAAATGTCGAGGCCATTCAACTCCTTGATACCACGGGCCTAGTGAGAAGATTAAAAAGGACAAAACCATGAATTAGTGTTAGTACACGTTAGTATTAAGTGCTAAACAGTGAGTGAAAAAATAGAACACAAGAACAGAGTGTCTTCCCTTTAACCAGTTTTATGTTAAAAATCCCTTTTAGTAAATTAGGTTAGACTTAAATTACTTATTAGTCTTTATTAACATTGTAATATTCTATGATGTCTAAAAAAAATATACCAACTGCAATTAAAAAATAACAATAGTAGATTTTTTTTTTTAATTTTGATCCAAACGAATAAAATTTATTAATTTAATAAGGAATACATAGGTATTCCTTATTTGAAAAATTTTGTAATGTCATTTTCTAACTATACAGTTGAAAAGCACGTTATAAATTAAGGTATGGATATTTGCAAATTATATCCGATTACATTTCAACTGAAACACTATTGATATACGCAATTTTCAAATTAGAAAATTCAATATTACTATCACATGTTTAGGCAGTGATTAACCAAAACCTTCTACTGTATGTTGGTAATGTGTGGAAGTTATTGGAGCAGTCGACTTAATAGAGCTCTGAGACAGATGAGTCTAATGTTGCGACTGCGCGATGGAACAAAACACGACTAGTGTCTGGGCCGTCCTGTATCAGTCAACCGCCTGCTGTAGAACGAAGCACGTCCTTCCAAATCCTGTGTTGTGAGATCGCTGCAGTGACAAACTAAGTGATAAGTGCAGCTTAGGAGTATAAGAATTATGTTTTCGTAATGTTTATATGCCGAGAAATTCAAAGTTGGAATTCGAAGTTTCGGTATGTGATAATCAAAGTTTTTTGAAACTTCGCTTCAGTTTTTATTTGAGGGATTTTTACTTTTTGTAGCGATAGAGTTGGGGTTTTATTTTTTATCTTGGGTGTAGGAGCACGCTTTTGGACTTCGGATTATTCAATTATAATAAGACTGCATGTAGCCTGTGGGGGCTGTAAGTTAGATTCATAGGAGATAATATAGTCTCCTTATGAATATAACTTAAATATAACATATATAAATAAATGTTTAATCATTTATCGGGTATGTTAAAGAAGATTAATATAAGATTACTAAGATTTTGTTTAATTATCTCTACAGCTTACTAATTGGTAAAAGGTATTGCCGCTGGAAAGCTTTTTCTTAAGCTCTATTTTCTTAGTTTTAAGATATTTATTTATTCTTAACTAAAAGGCTGTTAGACGAAATGGTTTAGTTTTCTCTTTTATATTTAATTTTACCAGCAAAATATATGTAAATATAAATCAAATGTATTCTTAACATTTTAAGTATTAATTACTAATATTGAGTTAAACGCATTTAAAATTAAAAAAAGGGTTCCCATTGACTCTCGCCAAAGCCTTAAATACAACAGACATTATTTGGTATTTAATTGACCATATTTTGCATGTCCTTTAATGACCGCAAACTGTCAGAAGTAGTCTGCTGTCTTTGGCAGACCTCGGCCATAGAGTTACAACGAAATTATCTCAGAACTAAATTTTGAGAAGCTCAAAGGAATATAATAATTTAGAATAATGCATAATTGCTAACTATTTTAGTGAAACAGTTAAATGGGATAATAAACTCAAACTCAAAATATCTTTATTCGTGTAGGTAAACAATTACACTTACGAATTGTCAAGTTAAATTAATTGTAAATTTACATTTACTACCAGTTCGCAAGTCAAGGGCGTAGAGCGGGTAAGAAGAACTGGCAAGAAACTTTCCGCCACTCTTTTTAATCGCCAAGTATTGTCATACAAATTGTTTGAACTGGAGCAAATCAATCCCAAGGATTAGAATCATTTAAGTATTCCTCAAATTTATAAAAAGCTTTATTGATTAATTTCCGTTTAACGAGGGCTTTGAATTTATTTAGTGGTAATACTCTAATTTCGCTTGGGAGTTTGTTGTAAAAACGAATACAATTTCCATATAAGGAGTGGTTAATAACCTAGTCCTTTTTATTTATTTGTAAGTAATTTTGCAGCTACACATATATTTATATATTATAAAAAATAACAGTTAGTACATTATATACAAAGGTAAAACAGATAAAATTGTTAAGCAAAATAAACGAAACAGAAACCAAATGACAACTTAATATTTTAAAGAAATAAAAAAATGTTACTACTGTAAAAATAAAGTCAAAAGTCCTCTCGCTTCGTAAAATATTTCCTCACACCCTCTCTGGTAAGGCGGAAAATGTCTACATCTTCATAAATTGTATTGTAGTTAGCTAAAACCCGAAACATTGGCGAATTACACAGATAATTAGTGTTCGTACGTGACACATGGAACAATTGTGAATATCTTGTCAGGAGGTGTTCTTAAAGAAATTAACGATAGCAAACAATCAGAGATAAATAATAAATTTTAATCTCTTTTTTTTAAGAATACGTCATAACTAAACTTGTAAGCATATAATTAATAAATTCTTCTAACGTTTCTAAATAATATCTCGGCGTTAAGTTAAATTTTAACTTTCATTGTCTGTAAAACAGCAGTTACTTTAGCATTGGATAATTAATTTAATATTTTAAGTTTTCATTACACAAGACACATTAAAAATATGGTTATACAAGTATAAAACTTATGTTTGAAGTATTAATGTAACCTAAAGCAAATTCCACAGAAAACAAAAATAATACAATACAAAGAAGAGAGTTTTGTTCTCTTCTTTGTATTTTATTATATATTAAAACATAAGAAACCAGAGTAACAAAAAATCAGACGACACTACAGAGTTAAGACGATTATCAAATTACCAAAGACACGCGATATGGTTTAAATATTCATAGTATGCTCCAGTATTTTTGGTACAATATAGATTATAAACTTTTCGTTTAGTCGAAGTACCTACTGATTAAAAAGTTACGTAGGATTCGTTAAGATGTCGGTAACTTAATATTCTTTGTAAAATCGGCGAGGCCAGAGATACATATTGAATCATTAGATTATTAAACTTGCCGATAAATTTTCATGACAGAACTTATAAAAAAGTAAAGTTAAAATATAGTTTTAAAAATGGAACGTTTCGTATCGTTCGATTGCGATTAGTTAGTCTGGTAATAAATCTAAATCTATAAAACTATTTGAGATGTTTGTTTTTTTAAAATACAATCTTTATTTCAAATCTATGGTCTATATAATATATAGTCTAATAAATCTATATATTTTGTAAGACATCGCATGTCGCATATGTAATAAACCTTGTTTAACTAATAAGCCAATTTACGTTTGTCAATTTTATACAGTTAAAATTTCGATAAAACTGTGTTGAAAAAGTGACCGGAAAATACTTAAATAATAATTCTTTACCTTATTTTAACCTTTCACTTTATTTTATATATATACATATATATATATATATCATCTCCAATGCATATAAACTCGGGAAGTCAAATTTACGTCATATAAGACTATGTTCCTATGTTTGGGATATCTTTAATCTTATTATAGTTATTTAAAAAATAATTGATTGCATTACATGAATGATGTAGCTTTTGTAAAAGTTTTTTTTTAATTTTAAATTATGTCTAATTGCATAGTGTGATAAAAAAATCTGTCTCTTTTCATCATAGCGTAAATATAATTTGACAGAATGAGATGGAAAGTTTAATGAAGAGACTTTATAAGAGGATTAAATATATTCTACAACTAATGGTTTTTATGC